TGTACTGGTTGTAGTTTAATGGTGGCAAAAAGGATTTGAAATGATTCATCTTGGTCTCATTTTTTTTCTTATCATAAAAATCTGAAATTTGAGCAGCTGTGTGCTGACTTTTTATGTCCGCTGTATGCAGAAGGTGAATGCGTAAAATTGGACGCATGACTTTATTTTTCCATTTTGCCATCACAGGTTTGAAGATGCTGTACCAGCCCGAGGTGGTGAGACTTTACCTATCTCTGCTCGGCTGCAGTCACAACGCCAACACCTTAGAGGCGGCCGCTGGAGCCCTGCAGAACCTCGCCGCAGGGCACTGGACCGTGAGTGGACACTCGCTTCTCACTGTACAGACCGGTGAATCGCCTTTAAACCGCCGCTTATTCTCACAGTGGTCCAGTTACATTCGAGCCACGGTGCGAAAAGAGAAAGGTCTGCCCGTCCTGGTGGAGCTGCTGCGCTCCGACGTGGATAAAGTGGTGCGAGCGGTGGCCATTGCACTCCGTAACCTGGCCATGGATAGACGGAATAAAGACCTCATAGGTACCTGCTGGCAAGTCTTTACAGAACCGCTGCGTGTTGGGATTTAGTGTAGGGGTCTGCAACAGAGGTGGCAAAAGTACTTCATGACTTCGCACCGCCGGTCTGCAGGCAGCTACGCTCTAAGGGACCTGGTAGGCAACCTGCCGTGCGGCCAGCAGCGACCGGCCAAAAATCTGGAAGGGGACACGGTGGTATCGCTCCTCAACACCATCCACGAGATCATCAGCGACAGCCAGGAGAACGCCAAGGCGCTCATCCACGGCCACGCTGTCCAGAAACTGGTGGCCATCAGCAGGTCAAGGTGAAGCTCAAGGTTCCATGCGTTCATCCATTTTTTTTTTGAGCGTTTGAGTGAGCTGGAGGCTATCCCATCTGACTTTGACTTTTTATTATGTCAGCTCTCATAAATGCTATTTATTATTATTATTTTATTATTATTATTATTATTATTTTTTTTTTTAATTCAGCCAGTCAACACGTGAAACCAGGGCCGCCTCCCACGTGCTTCAGACCATCTGGGCCTACAAGGACCTGAGGAATACCCTCAACAAGGCGGGCTGGAACAAAAGCCACTTTAAGGTATGAAGGATATACTGTATTTGTTCATCAGGAGACGTATCTTTGTTTATTCCACAATTTAAAACAGTTGTCGGTGAGTACTGATTTTTTTTTTTTTTACAAGCACGAATAGAAAACAAAACAAAAGCCATTAAAAAAAAAAAAATCTATTTTCCATAACACTGTATGTCCCCTTTAAGATAAATGTGATATTTTTTCTCAACTGTCTTGCAAAGCCGACGGCAACCGGAGTGGCGAAAAAATCCAAGAGCGTGAAGCAAAGCGGCGACGACATCACTTTGCCTCTCATGGACAAGTCCCAAGGTTGGAAAACATTTTTGCAAGGGTTTTTCATGAATTTCAAATGTTATTTGATGTCTACCAAAAAGCGAAATAAGAGGTGAAAAAGCTGTGTTCAAACAGGGCAGAAGCGGCTCAGGTTGTAAGGGAGGCGTGAAGGCAACGACGCGGCGTCAAGGTTATCGCGACAAAGATGTGTCAGCACTGGAGACGGGGCTGGCTGCCTGCATTCTAAAAAGTTCAGAGGAAGGGACTAAGTCACATGACGCTTGCATTGGGTTGAAATCTCCTTTTTCACAATTTGGTCACCAAACACTCCCAGTGAGGAGTTTGTAATTGTGTACAGTCTGAATTTCAATGACAAGCTGGATGTGATTCCACAAGGGGGCACAAATTGCATACAAATGCCAATTATTGACATGTTATTATGCCTTTCATGGAAAAACATTTCTCATAGCATTTTTTTTGTTTGTTTTGTAGATGTGTTTTCCAGCAGTTTAGAGCCTAACGATAGAGCGGAAGATGGAATTGGACCTGTTGTTGAAAGAGACCCTGTCCCGGTAAAACAATGTTTATCATACCAGATTTCCATGTCCAGTGGTGCCTTGAGATATGAGTGACTGCATTTCTGAGTTTTCTGAGATACGAGCCAAAAATGAGGCGATTTTTTTTTTCCTTCGGGCTTTCGCAGTGAGCAGCATTTGGCAAACAGTCAACATTTTCTTTTTGTTTTAAGAACAACCAAATAGCAGAGACTTTCAGTCCACTAGCTTAATGCTAATGCTAAATAGCATCTAAGTTGGCGTGCTATGAACCTGCAAGCAGCGGATTGAAAACAAATGGTGCAGAAACACATGCACACAGACAATATAACAGTACGCACAGTCACGACTAATATCAGTACAATGATGAGCGGAGAAGCAGCTCAATGGTCATTCAGTCAGGACAGTGTGACAAACAATGTTTCATCCTTTTGAATGAATTTTAATTGTCATTATTATGTGTTTTTTTAATCGAGTAGAATATTTTGGAGTGCTTTTTGCCCTCTTTAAAATACAATTTTTGGGTGAGGAAGGCAAGAACCGATTAACGGCCTCTCCATTCATTTCAGTGGGTAAAGACGATTTGAGATACCAGTGTTTTGAGTGTATCTCAAAGCACCACCATGTTTCCTATTTTGGATGCTTTTTATATTACTGCTGCGATTGTAGCATTGCGCCGCCAAGCCTGTCTGTTTGCGCCACGTCCAATAACGTTTGCATATCTGTCCCTCCCACCCCCGCGCAGGCGATCAGCGAGAGGAAACACTTCATCCGAGCTGGCAGGCCCGCCGTGGGCCTCATGGATAACAAACCTCCGCCGCTGGACTCGTGGGTGTGAACGCCACAACGCGGCCGTTTAACAGTCGGGACATCACGACACGCGGTAGAGACACTCTCCAGTGGCCCACATGTGCATTTATGCAAATTGATCCCACGTGTAGTATCAACAACCCCAGTACCTGTAGGTTTTTTTTTTTTTGTTTTTGATCCTAGAGAATGACGTGCCAAATATTTATCACATGCTTATTTGTTTATAGATTTGATGAGATTCCCAAATATACTGTATAGGAAGAGGATCGTGTCTCAAACTTGTGGTAGACATGCGGTATGAAGTAAGCCGAAATATGCAAGCCGCGGCAGACGTCCGACTCCAAAGACGATTGAAATAGCTTCACTGCACACATAAGCGCTTAAACACTTCAACGAGATTAAGCTGGTCGTCTCGAATCAATTCCCCCCTCAAAAATGTTCTGTCTTTGAAGGAAGAACGATTCAGTTGAGAAATTATAGTCCCCAAAATTTGGATCACCATATCAGCAATATATTGCAACCGCCGCCAGCCTGGTGGTTGTCGCTGCCAAAAATGAAGAAATAATACTTTTCATCATGGTCAATAATAACTCAAAATGATAATCATACTAATTACTGACAAACTCTGTGTGCCATTTGCGAAACTGCCCCCCAACCCCCCCCCCCCCCACGTTGGTTCCTGAGATGAGATGTGTAAATGTGTAAACAAAAGGACTGTTAATAAGCTAAATGGATGCATTTATATTGTGATATTTATTATATATAATAGCCATGTTAAGAATCCGAGGTCTTAGACGCAGGGTCGCGCTCCCCCGTCAGTCAGTGGTCCTTTACGTTCAACACGAGTCTGGTTTGTAGTCGCTCGCACCCTTTTTTGCATTGCGATGTTGAATGAAAATAAAACTACGTGTAGAATTTCTCATTTTTACCCGCCCTTATCTTTTCCACCCTAATGGCGAAAAAAAAAAATGTTCAAAGAGACTTTTAATGGCTTTGATCATAATTAAAAAGCAAAGTAACCGATTTCGGTCATCACAGCAGCATGTGTTGTTTGTTGACGCCGCTTATGGTCCTTGGCAGTCACTGGACTGCAACATTTCAGAAAGAGTAAATCACTTCCTGGCTACGCTCAAAGTGGGGGGGGGGCTTCATTGACTTTACTAAAAATCATATTTAAATCTTATTTTCTCTAAAAGAACGACTTTTCTCTCTGGAAAAACAAAAATGAGCTTTTTCTTTGTTTTTTTTTTTTGTAGCCCTAAAACTCCTCCTCTGGTCATTTTAAATAGTACCACACTGATTTAGTCTCTCCTGGCATTTGCATAATTAATTGGAAAAAGTCCTTTCATTACCCATTTTAATTTAAAAAATGACACGATTAATCGCTTTTGATGGTGACAGATTAGCGTGGTTTAAACACCCTGTGTTTTGCCCACCCCCTTCTTCTCCCTCGCCTGTTTGCAAAACACATAATTGAGCTCATTGAATTAATTTGCCTTGAATTAAGCTGACGAACTGCAGCAGCCTTCCCGAATCCTCTCAGGGTATTAAAATAGCGCAGCAGCAATCTTTATCGTACAATAAAATGTAAGATAGTGGAGCTCAGTGTATGTTAGCGAAAATCCCCCTGGCACGCTTTTCTTGTTTGCCTAACAATGACTTATTATTCTTGCTCTTTGGTTCTCCTAAAGCGGGTGGGCTTATAGGACAAACAAACCCTCGAGTCATTAATCTCCAAATATGAGGATGACTTATTTTGCGAGGAGACAAAGCAAATACTATTGTGAGCGGCAATATTTTCCTTGGGGGAGTTTAATGACTTTGCGACTAAAGGCATCTACAGTTGTGGTGATTCAGCAATTACTCAGCGGCAGATTATGGCGGAATTGTCATTGGCGAAGCTCCTCACAGTTAAAAAAAAACAAAACAAAACAGAAGATATTACGGACCATATTTTACAGTTTTTTGTTTTTTTACTGGTGCCGCATAAAGGCCTGCAAAATCAACATAATCTAATGAGCTCCAATACCAGAAGTACATCCAAAAAAATCGTATTAAAAAGTGAATAATGAAGGTTCGCGACGGAGTTGCGTTCCTACGGCGCCAATGTTGATGGAACCTGAATTTGTCCGCAGGTTGCAACACGCTTGAGTCCGTCACTAACCTATCTTCGTGCGAAAAGCCTAAATCTTGAAATGCATTATGTTGAACTACCGTGCGCTCTAGTCGATCTTAAAGCTTCGCTAGGTCACCTGGAACCCGATAACATGAGAAGCTGTCCCAGAAGGGGTTAAAAATATGAACTAAAACCTCAGAGGTTTCAAAAAAGTAAATGCTCAAGTTAAGAGAAGATACCCGAAAAATCTGCTTAAGTACAGTTTTTCCCTTACACTTTGTAGTATTTAGGATTGGAGAGGTTTGCCGGAATGCGCATTCAACGTCATTGTAAGGAGGGTCAAAACGAGAAGGTAAGAGGTGGTAGGCGAGAGTTCCGCGCAGGGGGGTGGGTTGGGGTGTTTTAGAGGAGGGCCCGAGCAGGACCCTGATGACATCTCCAAACATGTCAGCAGCACACATTGGACAACACAGCCCTGCCCTCAGAAGCAAAGCACGCCATCGACAAGGGCAAAGCTGTTTTGTCTTGGCCTCCACGACCAACCCATTGTACGTCGACCCCCCGGTTGAGTCCTTCCACTCACATCTTGTCATCCGCTACTTTTTGGGATAACCTTACACCATGACCCTCCAGTCCGTGATCCGCTTCTCGAGTGTCTTTCTCGTCACGCTGACCGCCTTGATCTCGAGCAGTCCCGTCAGTCCACCCGAGAGTCGTCCCCGGAGGCCCTCTGTGGTTCGGCACGCGCGTGACAATACGCTGCATGACGCGCAAGACTTTCTCAGCCACTTTCTGTCTACGCTGAACCTGACGGGGGAGATGCAACTGGAGCAGAGGCCCCTGGCTTCACCGAAGGACCCACCAGAGTACATGCTGGAACTCTTTGAGCAATTTGCCAATCACCGGACGACCGTCGGGCCTTCCGCCAACATTGTCCGCAGTTTCAATAACGAAGGTACACACTCATCGAAAAGATTATAATACTGTCCAATCTGCTTTTTAAAATGGAGGTTAACGTTTAAGTACCTCCAGGTAAGACTCAAATAATGTCCCTCACAAGATCTATTGACTAGGTTCTGGAGGGTTGTCTTTAATCTCTTCCAAAGGTAAGGTGTATGTGTCCAAGATTTAAAAGTCAATAGTTAAGGGTACAAAAGTAGAGCCTTCAAGGGCAACGTTCCACGTAGTCGTTGGGACCCTTTCTCTGATATTGTCGATCATGAATTAAGTGAACGTTCAAACGATGGTTGGCCACGTTTACTTCATACTTGACATTTAACGGTTCGCCGAACTCTTAGAAATAGAAGCCGGAGGAGTTGAAGTCCCCCCGGTCGTACCGTTTCCCACAATGCTACTCACTGTCATTTAGGGGTTACGTTTACAAGATGTAAGATTCAAGAGTGAAGGGTCCAAGAGCTGTTCCTTAGAGGGTAAGACCCTATTTTCAAATCTCTCGATTGTCACTTTGAGGATACCACCTAATTAAAAAAGTCACAACTCTCCTATGAGGCCCATTAATGGTTTCTGTCAATCTAAATGAATGTACTCCATTAAGTTGTCTTGTGTATGAAATGTGCAGGATCAATAAAGATGCATTGCCTTGCTATTAAGGGTTAAAGTTCCAGTTTGCTTGGGGTGTTACCCTGTATTTTCCAAAAACCGGGGTATGCTCGTCCCAGAGTTGTAAAACTCAAGAGTACTCAAGCAGTTGCTTTGTGGCTAACACCCCATTGACAGGTCGCAAAAGGTTTTGTCTGGTATCCTCGATTATTGCTTTATCGCATTCCAATGGACGAGTCATTGTACTCCTAAGGGCACATTGAACCCTAGACCTGGGAAATCCAGGTCCAGGAAGTAAAAACCCTGACACAGTTTGGCTTTAGCCACAGGTGCAACTCGTTGACCTGCCGGTTGAGTGGAAGCACCTGTGGCGAAAGCCAAACTGGCGGGGTTTTTACTTCCTGGATCTGGATTTCCCAGGTCTAGGGTTCAATGTGCCCTTAGGAGTACAATGACTCGTCTAATTTATCTTTGCCAAAGATAGGATTATGTTCCCAAGTTGTACAAGTCAAGGGTCAAGGGTGTAACTTTAAAACCCTAAAGTGGACACGACATTAAGAGATACTTGTTGATATTTTCAGATTCTTCCCCTTTCGGAGTGACCGCCAGGGGAGTAAGGACACACCCCTTGCTCTTCAACATCTCAGTGCCCCACCACGAGTACATCACCAGAGCCGAGCTTCGCCTTTTCACCCTCGTCCACGGAGCCCAAAGACCCTTTGCCGGCCTTGAGTGCAAGGTGACCATTTACAAAGTGCACAATGGCGTAGTTTGGATCAAGGAGGTCGGGAACGAGGTGAGAAGGCGGGATCAAGAGGAGTCTAAAGACCTGGAGGAGCTAGTGACAAAGCACATCCACGCCAAAGATAAAAGCTGGGTTTCCTTGGACCTGACTCATGCGGTTGCGCTCTGGCGGAAGTACGGCGGAGTGACGCACAAGCTGGAGGTCCACGTCGCCATCTTAGGTCCCGAGGAGGAGGTCACGTGGGGCGAAGGTGAGGTTTTTGTAGACATCGAGCGAAACGTGGAGGGGAACCACAACGCGGTGATGATCGTTTTCTCCGACGAGCCCAACAAACGCGATAATGCGCGTGAGAAGGACCGTCCCGAAAACACGGAGCAGATTCTGTTCCGGCCGTTTGTTAGCCACAACGGGGATGAGCGCAAGCTTATCTACGAAACCCCTGCTCGGGTCCGCCGCGACGTCAAGGGCAAAACCTGCAGGAGAACTCCGCTCTTTGTGGATTTTAAAGACATTGGCTGGAACGCGTGGGTCCTCCGGCCGGAGGGCTATGAGGCCTACATGTGCAACGGAGTGTGCGCCCCGCCCATGACCTCGGAGGTCTTGCCCACCAAACATGCCATCGTGCAATCACTGCTCAGTGTTAAGAGTCCGGAGAGGGCATCGCGTGCCTGCTGTGTACCCACTAAGCTGGAGCCCATTTCGCTCCTTTATTTCGATAACGGGGTGGTCACCTTCAACCACAAGTACGAGGGCATGGTAGTAGCAGAGTGTGGCTGTAGATAGTGACGCACACACATAGCGACACGCTCACACAGAGGTAGAGACTGTGCACCGATGGATTCTAGCCTGTGCTTGTTGTATCCACACATCGTCACACTTTAACAATGACACTACGTGGTGTAAAAATATTGTATAAATGCAAATCTCCAGTCATTATACTACTATTTAAAGTTATGTCAATGTTGTGATGTGCAGTATGTCGCTTTGTTTGTTGTATGCCATGACCATAATGTTGTTTAGACCAGTGATTCCCGAGTGCCGTGAGAGATTATTCGGTAACTGTCCAATATTATATCCGTGATCATAACATTTTTTTCATCAATGGCCGGCGTCAGGCCAACATTTGTCAAGATTTGGTTGATTACAATTTTTTTTTTCCCAAATTGAAGCGGAAGGTACAGAATTCCATGTGTATCAACATTTTGGGACATATTTTTATGTGCCTCGTCCACAAGCCTTAGTACACTTCATTAGGTATGCCTAATGAACAATCATAATGACAAGAATGGCACCGACCCCCCACCCCCGCAACACGTGAGATTCCAAGAAACCGAGGTTGGCCATAATTCCGAAAGTATGTTCGATTCAATTGCTTTTGGACTATTTTACAGATGGAACTGGGGCCTTAGTCAAGCACGAGGGAAGTATGAACAGTTCCAATTTGTGGTCACAGTGTGAGCACAAAACCTTTCGCGCCTCTGCTAGAGAGGAAAAAAAAAATGTCAGGAAAAAGCCTACTAGAACATTTGGAATTTGCTTGCAGCCCATCAGAGGCACTTTAAATGGTGGCAGGTGTGAGTTTGAATGTAATTGGTTAATTCTGAACGAAGCCACATCCCCGGTTGCAACTATAAAACATTTTTTCACTTTTGATAGCTTTCAACCACAATGTCATGAGGTCAAAATGGCATTGTAATTGTCCTTCATCTGTTGATTTCCATTTTCATACCTGTGCAATTATATGTCTGGAAAAATAAACACATACTGTGAATAGATTTGATAGAATTTATCTATTGATTGCCGCTTGCCTGACAACCTTAATCCCTCTCATCCCCTCTTGCATCACATGCCTGGCGGGCCTCTGCCCGCTGCCATGCCACCGCGATAACGAGGTGTCAGAGCCTGGAGTCTTGTGGGCCGTCACTCAGGCCGGGACGCCGCTCCAAGTGGCAACGTTTGTGAGAGGGTGGTGTCAGATTCCTGGTCCCCAACGCCAGCGTTCTTTCGGCGACCCCGCCGTCGGGTTGACCTCGGAGACCTTCCGCTTACTTTTTCTTACTCGGCCTCGCATGCCACCCCAACCTTATCGAGGCCCCCGGCAACCGTACAAATGGAAAAAAAAATATGTGGCACATCACCACTTAACTGGAGCTGTTAACAGTCGGAAGTAGATAACAACAATGGTGGAATAACACCGTGGAAACTATCAAGGATCAGCGCTCTACTTCCAGTGGGCCAAGTGGATGTCAACTATATTTGATTTCAGTCCAAATATCGCCCTGATTTATTTAAGAAATTTTTTAAAAATGTTGAAAACGTGATAGCAATGTTAACGGTGGTGGAAGCGTAGTCTTTTTTTTTTTTCCTTCCAGTGATCACCAAAGCGGAATTACAGTACAGCTTTTTTTATTGACAGAATATTCATTTTTACATCCCAATAATATTTCTTTGTCAATCTAAACACGGATGAGAACAAAGCAAAAAGAAATACGAAAAATCTGATCTTCCAGTTCAATCCATAGCTACATAAATGGGGGAAAAATATTGACAGACTTTATTTAAACAAAATAAAGATTACATACAAACATAACATTTAAGTAAATATATCCAAATTGTCAGGAGACTCCAAATAAACAACTTAGAGTATACTGTATGTCAGAAAATTTCTTTGTTAGCTACAAATTTAAGAAACTCAATGTAACAATATCAATCCCCCAAAAATTCAAACATGGAGTAAAGTGAAAAAAAAAATTGTCTGTGAATATGAAATTTCCCAAACAAAATAAAAAGACCGACAATAGTGCACATTTCTGTATCTTTGTATACAAAACAAGTGATCATATTTTTACCCTCAATCTTTAAATTGAGATATCTGTAGATGTAAAGTCTATCTTTGACGCAGGCGCAATCGTGACGTATGCTGAGCGGGCGAGTGGGGGTTTGTTTATTTTCGTGGCTGCTACCTTTCTAGCGGCTGCTACCTACCTAGCTCAGGCTAGCTTCGCATACAGTTCCTACTTGTCGCCATTTACACCTGGTCGACGGGGGAAAAAAAAACACTTTCGGGACACTCAAAACAACCGCCACGAAGTAACCGGGCCACTACGGACCATCACTTAACGCAAGGTTGGTGAGTTTGAGGTTGAGCTTTTCGACTAGCGACAACCGACGTGCATGCTAAGCGCTACCCTACGGCTCCCCGATCAGAATATTGAAAAAAAAAAACAACCCGTTTGTAGACTTTTTGTTTGCGACCGAGCTGTGTTTATTGACGCTCGGGCTGCAAGTTGAGTATTTAGTTTTTATTTGGCTTGGGTTTACTGTACAACTGACGCGTTAATACAAATTAAGACGGGCCTGAGATAAGCAACCGAGGGGATGGCTTTAGTGGCTTCAACGCTACCCCACGAGCTGATTTAAATGTCTACTTTGTCCACATGGAACAACTTAAGATAAACCCTTTCATGAGGTAAAACAAGACTACCAATTGTTACATGTACACCGTCTTACTAATTGAATTGTTGGCGCCCTTAAGTGGTACACGCAACGGAAATTTAATTAGGTACACCGGCACTCATGCAAGAGCTGTTTAAAAGTTGCCAGAAAGCTGTTCACGTATGTATATTCTTCCACTTATACTCCAAGTTTTATGGCAAGTCACACTCCAGGAGAAGAGGGTCAGAAAAGTCACTGTAATTAATGGACAAATATAAAGTTACTTATTGATTGACTGTGCCACAGAGGAAATTACGACAGTAGTCTGTTTATTCTTGGAGTTGTGGTTTGCAATGCCTTCATAATATAGTGGACAGTCTTTGCCCTACTTGAGGAATAATTAATAGACCCTAACTGTGTTCTTTCTCGTCCAGCGTATGACAGAATTACGTCTAAATAATTTGCCGTTGTCTCAGCTTTTCCAGACCTACTTTGTATTGACTGGAACACCTCACTGGCAACAAAAAAACAGCGAACGAGCCTCTCCGGAGGCTGAAACCGAAGGAGCAGGATGTCCATCGCCAACACTCCCACAAGCAACGACGCCTGCCTCAGCATTGTGCACAGCCTGATGTGCCACAGACAAGGCGGGGAGAGCGAGAGCTTCGCCAAGCGAGCCATAGAGAGCCTGGTCAAGAAGCTGAAGGAGAAGAAGGACGAGCTAGACTCCCTCATCACGGCCATCACGACCAACGGAGCGCATCCCAGCAAGTGTGTGACCATACAGCGCACTTTGGACGGCCGCCTTCAGGTCAGTATCGGAGCGAATAAACGGTCCTTATTATGGCCTTGCTGCAATTGGAAGTCAAATGTTTTTGTCTTAGGTCGCAGGACGTAAAGGTTTCCCCCATGTGGTTTACGCTCGACTGTGGCGGTGGCCCGATCTGCACAAGAACGAGTTAAAACACGTCAAATACTGCCAGTATGCCTTTGACCTCAAGTGCGACAACGTTTGTGTCAATCCGTACCACTATGAGAGAGTGGTCTCGCCAGGCATTGGTAGGTTTACACGCCAAACCCTAAAATTCATCTTCAATTATTGTGTAACTGTAAAATGATGTTTAAAAATAATGGAAGACTGTAGAGAAGTAGATTTCTCAACTGACCTGATGCATTTTAGAGGGATATTTTTGCGAAAAGTCCAGGTTAGTTCAAATTTGGGCCTGACGGATACGGATTTTTTTTGAGGCTGTTGCCAAATCCAATTTTAGTCAGAATAAAAATCTGATAACAGATTAAATGGACGATTAATGCTAAAAAAAAGAAATGACGATAACAGAACTTATTTTTGGTCATTTACGTTTTCAGAAAATGTGGCTGTTTTGGAATGCTTAATATTTAACTTACCTGAATGAAATAAAAGAAAAAAATGGAATTTTTAGGGTGAGGAGTTATATTGTAATGTGTTAATGTGTCAACAAAATCAAATCGAATTACAAAACATGAAAAGAGCAGTTCTCGGCCAATAGATCGAGTCCAAATTCCCTCAGCTTTTTCTACCAAACATGGAGTCAGGCCATTTTCTTTATTTCTTCGCAGACCTATCAGGACTGACACTTACAAGCACAGGTGAGTTGTTTGACATGTTCCTTTGTTATCATCATGTCGATATAGGCAATCTTCAGTGCGCTCGTTGTTTATGCTCACCAGGTCCACTCATGGTTAAAGACGAGTACGACTACGACAACCAGCAATCCCACCCCGGCGTCGACAGCCACCTGCAGACCATTCAGCACCCTCCGTCCAGGCCGGGCCCGCCCGACACTTTCGGCAGCCCCGCCCTACTCACGCCGCCGGAAGGCAGCGGCTCTGCTTTAACCTCCGCATTCTCTGCCATCAGTGCGGGACCCTCAAGTGAGGCCCGGATGCTCTCTGCGATTCAACTGCTAAGATTGTCTCAAGCGAGTGTGGCAACTTTTGCATTTACAGATCCCACCTCCAACTGGAGCAGGAACAGCGGCTTCACGCCGGCTGTGCCGCCGCATCAAAATGGCCACCTACAGCACCACACGCCCATGCCTCACACAGGACATTACTGTACGTACATATGTGGACGCGTTCCCTGTTTTTTCTGTTTATTTTGCTCTGGATATTTTAAAGGAGTACAAAAGCCATAAATGAGCGATGTGAACAAGTGTGAAAAGTGGAATATAAAGTGTGCTGTAATTCTTCATCCTTTGTATTTTTAATGGAAGAATGTTCAAGACTTTTTATTCTTTATTCAGCCACCTGGGGAAAAAAGCACATGTCCTTTAAAAAAAGAAAAAGAAAAGTATTTCAATAAGTAGAATTAAGTCATTAATTAAAATAAATTACTCCACTGTTTTGCTTTCTATATGATTCCCGCAGGGTCTGTTAGCAATGAAATAGCATTCCAGCCACCGATATCCAATCACCCAGGTGAGTTTTCCTGTCACACACGTCGCTCTCGTAACACCCGAGGTATCGTCAACTGATTTCAGCTGCTTGCTGGTTTGTGGCAGCTCCGGAATACTGGTGCTCCATCGCGTACTTTGAGATGGACATCCAGGTCGGCGAGACATTCAAGGTGCCCTCCACGTGCCCGATAGTGACAGTGGACGGTTACGTGGACCCCTCCGGAGGCGACCGCTTCTGCCTGGGCCAGCTCAGCAATGTCCACCGGACGGAAAACATCGAGAGAGCCAGGTATTGGACCACATCCACGGGATTTTTAAAAAGAGACAAAGGGTCTTCATAAAAAGTCTTTGACAGCCTTCTCACTTCCTTTTTATGACTTGGCCCCACACCTCACCTGACCTTTTTGAGGCCCCTGGTAACTGTACAAATAATACATGCCACATCATCACTTCAGTGTTGCTGTTAACAGCCGGAAGCAGATAACAGCAATGATGAAATTTAACTCCTCTCAGTAGGCAAAGTGTGTCAGGTGGATGTCAACTGTGATTATTTATCCAATACACCTGCAAATTAATGTTGTTGGCACTCTGGAGACCCAACTATGTATATGTATAGAAGCGATTCGAAAAGTCGCCATTCCATCATGACGCCTTCTTTTCCTTTGCTTCTCAGGCTCCACATTGGCAAAGGCGTGCAGCTGGAGTGCAAAGGCGAAGGAGACGTTTGGGTGCGCTGCTTGAGCGACCACGCCGTTTTTGTACAGAGCTACTACCTGGACCGAGAGGCCGGGCGCGCCCCTGGGGACGCCGTGCACAAGATCTATCCCAGCGCTTACATCAAGGTGAAACGAGAGGCTCCCTCCTACTCCGAGGTCCACTCATGTTCTCTCTCAACCTGCTGGTGTTTGTCCCCGCCAGGTGTTTGACCTGCGTCAGTGCCACAGGCAGATGCAGCAGCAGGCCGCCACGGCCCAAGCGGCGGCCGCGGCCCAGGCGGCGGCGGTGGCCGGGAATATACCTGGCCCAGGTTCCGTGGGCGGCATCGCGCCCGCCATCAGTGAGTGGATTACTTCCTGGATCATTCCCCCGTCAAATGTCTCATTCCCGCACCAAATTTCCATTCACATACATCACCACGAGGTAGTCCTCAAGGCTCTGTGATTGGTCCCCTGTCTCTTCACCGGATAGCATTTCATATTATCGTATTATCTCGTCTCGCCCCCAGTTTATTCATGCTTCGCACTCTTGTTCTACCGCCGCAGGTTTGTCGGCGGCGGCGGGCATCGGCGTGGACGACCTGCGTCGGCTTTGCATCCTGCGCATGAGCTTCGTCAAGGGCTGGGGGCCGGACTACCCTCGGCAAAGCATCAAGGAGACGCCCTGCTGGATCGAGATCCACCTCCACCGCGCTCTGCAGCTGCTGGATGAGGTGCTGCACACCATGCCCATCGCGGACCCTCAGCCTCTCGACTAATGACGTCGTCGCAAGACTTGGAAGGCTGCGGCCGCGCCAGGTCGGGCAGTTGGAGTAGAAGTGAGGACACACGTGGTCGCCAGTTTAGTGTCGTGGCAGTGGAGTGCTGCGTTACACAGGAGACACGCTGCTATGCGTACTGACAGACAGACAACACAAGTCGGGATTTTTAACAGAGCACTTAGTAATGATTGGAAGAACGCATCTGTTCTGATACGAGAAGTGCACGTGCATCTCAACAACTTAGAATATGGTGCATTTAGTTTTGTAGTTGCGTTTGAAAAGTGAATGATTCACATTATGGCTGCAACTATCGATTATTCTGTAATTTTTTTTTGTTGTTGTCAATCGATGAATTGGATTAAAAAAAACATTTAAATTTAAATAATCACTTTATTTTTAAAAACGGGCAGTATTTTAAATTGACAGTCAAGAAAATTCACAAACATGAATATGATTCAGTTCCTGGTTTGGTCCATAGTGTGTCAGAAAACTGAAAAAAAAAATCCCCCAAATTAAAAGCAGATATGCAGTTTGCAAATGTCTTGTTTTTAAAATCAGTGATAGAAGTAAACTTTTTAAAAGATTTTTTTACGCTGATTCCGAAACTGCCCTTTTTTCTCTTGCACATCAGGTTTTCATCACGACAATATACAACAATACAGTGTGTAATGTAGTCATATATTTAGTTATATTTATAAATTAAGGGTTAGGCTCAGAAACGGATGGATTTTTTTTTCCCTGACACATCATAGCTATAAATTACAACACATGGTAAAATCCATATTGTGCAAGCTTTTACAGGTCAAACTTCAACAAACAAAAAAGGAAAATAGGAGAAGTGAAGTATCGGACTCCCAAATCTATTAGTGTCATGCTAATTTTTAAAGGAGGTCAATTTTGGATTTTCTCTAGCTGTATAAACTACAGTATGTCAAATTCTAGAAAAAAAACCTCATGAAATTACATGATGACTTACGTTACATTATTTGATTACATTTCACTCTTAGAAATGAACAACCGAAATATGTTTTTCCACCATATTCCAAGTGATAGAGATGCCCCTGTACATCCAGCATTTGATTCCCAAATGGCGCCCCGTTTCCTCTGCAGGTGTTTGATTTGCGGTCTTCTCCCCCTACCATCACCCCACCATGAACATTTAATCCGACTGCTTAGCTTCAGCTGGAGTCTGCTGCTGCTGCTGCTGCTGTTCCAGTCCTTCACTGGCTCTCTCCAGACACATATGAATTCATGTAAGTGGAGTTTTACTCCCCCCCTTTTTAAAATATTTTTTAAAACTTCAACTCTAAAAGTCACATGACAACATCCTTGGGGGTGATCACACGTGTAATGACATGTAATGTAATTTTGAGAATCGCCTTTTAAATTAGTAGCCCTTAGCACTTTAATTCCTAGAATTCAAGTTCCTCGGTTTATGACAGCTCCGACGCGTGACTTTTTAATATTACGAACGGCACGCAATGAACTACTGCAGTGGAACACCAACTGACGGGCTGTGTTGCACTATCAGGCAAATCTCCAGATTTAAACCCTACAGAGCGTGCATGCGATCTGCTCATGAGGCGACTGAAGGGAGTAATTGGGGCAGACATTTTCAAAGTTGGAAACCCACCATGGCAATTAAAAGGGCTTTGTGGAAACTAAACTTTATTTTTTTTTTTTTGGTGGGGGAGAGAGAATATTTTTGCCCTTCCCATGATGCAGTTATGAGGTTATGATTGCTTTAACGATTTCACTGGGCGGCCTAAAAAATTGTGACAGAAATCACGCTTACGTAGCCCCTCACTGTTTTTTTCTTTTTTTGGATTGTTTTATATTTATGTCCCAGAAGTATTTTTCTTAAAAAATATTGTAAACATGACTTTACTACTGTCCTTGTGATAGAGCACCTTTCCGACTCGGGGTTATGGCGTCACCATAGGGTAAAAAAAAAAAAAAAAAAAAGTTTGCTGCAGAGTTAGGACTCACTTTCTCTTGCCACTCCTCAGTCTTCTCTCAGATATAATGTGTCTCATCGTCGTAAATACAAGTGGTCCTCGGAGTTGCAGAATCTGATTTTGTACAGAAATGTTGCCAAAATATTGTCAATCACTAACATATGGTGATACAGCCTGTAATGCCGTAATGAAAGCAAATATTTGTATGGGGAAAAACACCTTTTGACCTGAAATACGGGACAATTGATCGGACTCGGTCGACCTGTTTCTTGCCACTTGCAATTTATAAAATCAATGCCATCCCAAAGAGAACTGTGAGAGAAGGTACAAGCCATATCGAAGCCAAAAAGTCATTTTCGGTGTTATGCTGAACCTTACCGAAATGGATTTTTATTGCTTTTGGATTTTTTTTTTTTTTTTTTGCTTCGTACTTGATAAAGGTATCCAAAACGGACAGCGACTGCAGTATTTTTTACTCCTTTTTGCTACACACTCTGGGGCGGCTTCTGCTTTGCATCTCAGCTATGTCGTGAATTTGAATGATATTCGTGTTAATATGTCTGAAAATGGTTGAATAAAATTCATGGGCTAAAACAGCATTGCATTAAGGTGGCGTTTGTACACACAGGAGGCGCGCTTTGGACAAGAAAACGTTTATTACCGCAAAGACAAAAGTCACAAAATTGAAGGGGGTGTGTGTGTGTGTGAACAAAAACACTAAGCTAGCCTGAGCTGAGATCTGAAATATTCAGAAAAAAACAAACTACGTGTCTTTTTAATAGTTTCTATATTCAGCAATACGACACACTAAATCAACGTCTTTATAAATATAAAAGTCCCCCGATCATCCTTGTTTTTATGCAAAATACAACAATATAAATCACCCAACACGCTTGCCAAGTTGAAAAGATATGAGTAACACACCGCAAGAAAGACATGAAAATTGTGTGGATATATTAGCTATTATACATGATCAAAAAAAAATGTCATCAAATGCCCCCCCCCCACCCCCAAAAAAATGTCATCGCCAGGACAAATACATATACCTCCACTTGGGGATATTTACATTTTTCTTTTCAATCTTGGCTGAATGGAGGGAAAAAAACAAACAAACAGGAAAAAAGCCTCCTCCCCAAATGCTTGTGCTTGCATTTGAGTGTGCTACAGATGAGCGTACGAAGATGGCACTTGAAAACCTCCAAATAGAACAACAACAACAACAACTAAAAGAGCAACAGAAATCACCATCATGAGGAATAATCAAAATGTTTTTTTAATTACAGCGATTTTCTTGATAGTTCTGTACAATTAACCAAAAAGAAGATTTCTCTACCACACCCATAAAACGACCGTTGTGAATAATAAATAATAATCCCACGCTGTTTCGTTCCCATTTCCCCACCTCCCGTAGCTGCAACAAAATGTCTCTCGATGGCGTCCATCCGTCGGGCTTGGGGCGGGGCCGAGTTAAAGGCACTGGAGTCTTGCTGAGGGTCAAGCTGCCTGTTGTCCGTTTTTATTTTTTTTATTTTTTATATTTTTTAAATAAAGAGCTTGTGTGTTTTCTACGTGGGAATTCTCAGCCCCTACAAAAACATTTTTCACGAAGAGACAAGTCGTGTTGGCAGCATTATCATAATAAAAATCACTGTCTGGCATTAAAGTCTATTTAAAAAAAAAAATGATAACAAAACGTTTCTAGCAGCGCAGACCAGAAAGCACTTGATGCTCCAAAAGCACATCCATACGATTTGAAGACAGCAAAGCCTTTTTTTTTCTCTCTTTCTACTATCAGGCACAAATACAAGTTAACCAGCGACGTGTTGTGGAATTATACAAGAGGGAGCTGAGATTTACATTGAAACCACAAAAAAATAAAATAAAAATCCCCCCGCTCCCCCCAAAAAAAAAACGTTTGCGTAAGGCAAATATCCTATTCTGATGCGAATCCCCACCCTTCAACCAAACAAGTCACCAAGACGAGTCTCTGTACAGCAGTTTTGCACTTTGACGGGCAAATCGTCCCTTCATTTGAACGATACCCGAGCCAAACGCAATAAATAGCAATAAATAAACATGAATACAGAGAAGTGGTCCAGAACAAAATCAAAACGTTTTCCTGTAAAGGAGGCTTAATCTCAGTAGTATCCACAACATAGAAGGCTTAACAGTTCAAGTATAGATGATACGGCCCACCTTCCCTTTTTTTTTCTTTCCTTTTCCCTTTTTCGACTTCGCACAGCTACCTTCGCAATCAGAAAGCAACACGTCGTGGAGAAACATTGTGTGTATATATATATATATATATATGTCTATATACTATACATATAGATCTATAATTCATAGATATATATATCTCTTTGAATATTAGAAAATATCTACTCTTGGTCCTTACTGTACATAGATGACCAAAAAAAGGGGGTTCGGTTTCAGGGGGGGTGTTTGATGGGTGTAAAAACAAGCAGTACGACAAAAGCAAAAAAAAAAAAAAAAAGGATGATTTTTCCACTGTGCAGTACAGTGGCATCGCTTTTGTGTGTTTCTGTGCGTGTGCAATACGGTTTTGACAGACTGTGCTGCAGGAGTTAAGGGGGTGGGGGGGGGCATCGGGGAGCTGGCACCACTGGCTTGAGGTAGGATGACTGATGGATGTGTTCCAACAACAAAACAAACATTTAGGAAAAAAAAAATAGCAAGGAGAGTTGCATGTTTCTGTTCTCTCGTACGCTTGAAAATGGCAAAGGCGAGAACGACGGCAAGGCTGTTTTTGATTATAGGGATGGAAATGTGAACTTGTCTGATTCATCGACCGTTGTGAGAGTGTACTCATCCGATTATTCTCTGACTAAAATAATCATCGGTTGCAGCCGGAGGAAGTAAAGAGGCGGGAGTGATCAGAAGGTGGAAGGAATAGTTGCAGAGCGTGCAAAAGGAGACGCGGGATTTGCAGGAAATAATGAGCAGGATGGGATGCGACCCCCCCAAAGACAATGGGAACAGGAGCGAGGGCAGGCGTAGGGCTGGCGAAAGGAGCCGGAACGGGAGCGAAAGGCTAACCGGCATCATGCGATTGCGAGCATTCAAAAGCTTAGCTGCGTTAAATCTGGACCAAAGCGAAAGGGCGCGTCTGTGGCGCCGTCCCCTTGGTCCAAACGGCTCAAATCCAAAAAAGCCTTCTCTGTGGACGGGACGCAGCCAAACTCAACAAACCAAAGGAAGCGAGCCAAAGAGGGGAGGGGTGTGAGAAAAAAAAAATGCGGGTGGGCGGGTTGGAGTATGTGGACTCTGAGAAGAGCTGCATTTAAGGATAAGGCACTGTGATGAAGCCGAGGTACATTAAATCCCTGACATTCCTTCTGCTCTGTGACATGGCACAACTATTGGCTCGCGCTCAGCCGCCTCTTGTTTACATTTACTTTTTTTTTTTTTATACTTTTTTTTTTTTTTGGTCCTTCGCGAGACAATTGATTGAGACAGAAAACTGCAAAAAAGAGGGAACGGGTCAGGGTTAGGGGAGCATGTGTCCAGAAGGCTGATTTCATGATTACATGGACAAAGGCAAACGTTACGTTCCGAGTGCATAATAGGCTAGCGGCAAGGATGTGGAGGGCAGTTTGGTTTGTACAACCAGGTCGTACGGATGGTATCATTTCTATTTACAAGAGTAGCAACAGCACACGTACTGTATTTTTCTCAAAGGGGGGGGGAGGGTGGTCCATCTCACATGGGTGGGGACATGTGGGCGTAATTTTTTTATTTTTTATGATGCAGCTGTTGTACAAAGGCGCCCGCCCGCTTGTCAAACTCTTGCACGTACGGCTACATACAATCCCCCGAAAATAGTCAGTTGCGATAACCGATCCGTGATTCCCAAAGGCAGCGTGTCGTGGGAAATTAAGTTTTCACTAATTGTTCCAAAAAATGATTATTTAAAATGATTCAACCTTTAGATACAATGCAGCACGCGACTTTAATTGAGGTAAGGCATTTTAAAATTAAAAGTAGAAGTTTTGAATCCAACCAGAACTCGTTCACTGCCATCAACATGATGAGAGAGACATGATTAGAAAAGGGGGGATTTTGGTTTGTGTTTTTGTAAAATAAATTTTCCCACAAAATGTGACTTACGACTTTGTAGTGGCCTTTTATTCTTCATGATGCATTTTTTGACGAGTGCAAGTTAGACTCCAGAGTGACTTCACATCTGAAAAATATGTTTGTTTGTTTTTTTTTTGTAATCTTTTTTGGGAAGTGGACGGTGTCAAGTAGACCATTCCCCAGATGTTGGGGATACGGTGGACCCCCGCTATTTGCAGGGGATATGGATAGTCTGACCACTAAGTCGTGAAAAATCAACTAAGAATTGTGAACCCGCCCCCCCCAAATCCACGTCTAATTTGTTAGAATTCAAAATTAATTAACTGAGGGCCTCCATAGACGTAGTCATAATAATTTAACGAATGTGCTCACGCGTGAATTAGCGAATGCCGGCGCTCCAACTGAATTGGGTTTACTGGTTGAATTTCAGGATGAACCTAAAACGCACTCTTACATTTACAGCTGAAGTTAATATGGCCTCTAAACTTGTGTATGCACAAAAAAAAAGAAAGAAAAAATCCCCCCACACCATCATAATCGTGTGGGGAAAAATCCGTGAATGGACCAAAACATTTCGTGGTTGAATTACAGTTGCCATTTAAACAGTCTACTTTAAAGTGTCATCATTAGGTTGCAACCGAGATACCGGAAGAGTCACAGAAAGGCATGGATTTCAAGTCCAACATCTGTTGTGAATTCCTGAACTCGGCTCTTTGTTGGACAACCAAAAGCTGTGCAGAAAATACTGAAAACAGTTGGACTTGCATTCAAAAGGTTTCGTGAAGATTACATTCAATTCACCTGTACAGATTTTGGTGCTTTTTTTTTGAGTTCATCCTGAAGTTCCACCGGAAAGCTGATTTATGGAGTAGATTACGGCATATGTACTGGCTCAATAAACATCAGGAAACACCAAGATAACGTATTCTAGTTTAACAGGACATCATGATAGCACCATTGTGTTAGTTTTTTTTGGGTTGTACTAATTAGAAGCAACTCTATATACAGCGGGGCCGCATTTCAGCTCGTAGACATCAGTAGTAGAAAGCTGATTTTCGTTAGACCCTGCGATTCACGTGGTCCTCTTTCTCTGGCAAAATTCAGCAAAGATTCAAGGGAGGACGCAGCATTCAGAACAGACGCGGGGAAAACCGCATCGCTTCGGAATCTGACCCGGGGTGGGGGTCGGGGGGGGGGGAGAGACAGACAGATGTTGGGCTGGACCACGCCCACCACCGGGTGGGATCCGTCCTCCAGGGCGCCCACCTGGATCACTTGGATCACTTCGTGCTCCGACTTCTCACGTTTAGCCAGAGGTTCCCCGGATTCCTCGGGCTCCTCGTCTAAATCGCTGTCCATGCCGCTGGTTTCATCTGGGGAGGGGGGACAAAATGAATGTTTTCAAACCAAACAACCAACAATCACCGAGACTGAGTGCAAAGATGCCAAATTATTTTATGTTGCGACAGAGCGAGACTGTATGACTTGACTTGCTTGAAATTTAGGGACTCGACTTGAATATCTTGATGAACAACTCCCCCTTACACAGTAATTTGTGTCTACATTTGAAAATGAAGACATGCGCATAATTTTGCGATTTACTCCAACCTCAAGTCAATAGCGAGAACTCAAGATGTTAAAAAAAAAAGCAGCATCGGATGCAGGAACAACATACCTTTATCGATGTTTGTAAGCGACAGGCTGTTCAGGCTGTCAAACTGCAAATGGAAGATAAAATCAGTTTTAGCCTTCTTCCCCCAAAAATAAAAAAATAAATTGTCTGTGCTTGAGTGACACATATCCAATATAACTTTTTGCGTTCACCAAACACATAAAACAAACAGATTTTTATCCCGATTTGGATTTCCATCAAAAAAAAAAAAAATCAGATTCTGTGTGTGTGTTTTTTTTTTAATCAGTCAGCTTCTAGGATGCATGATATAGATTGGGCCACTTGAGCAAAAAAAACAAAAACAAAACAAAACACATTTTCTCCCCCCATCTGAACAATAGAATGTAAATCCAAGCAGTAATGACACACCTCGCCCATGACGCCAATAGGAGTCTCTCCCGTAGCTTGAGCCACCCGATGCTCCACCAAGTAGAACATGTACTCGTCGTAAAGCAGGCGGATCAGGTGAAAAGAACCGAAGCTCGCAGCACTTCGCAGGGTCAGGTCCCTGATGACCATCGAACTGTGACACGGAGGGAACCAAAAAAAAAAAAATTAAAAAAAAATGAACAAGTCTTCTTCTCGAGCCGATTGGGCTGCGTTTGTCTTTGTTTGGCCACCTGTAGAAGGACCACTTTAGTAGGAACTGCCGGGCCGCCTTAGGGAAGCTGGGCCGCTGCTCGTAGGGCTTCAGCACTTGAGTGACCACGTTGTCCAGCCAGGCCGCCCACTGCTCCAGAGAGCTTTGCTGCTGTAGGGTAGCCTTGAAGTCCTGCTCCAAGTGCTGAACCATGTTCTCCTCGCACTGGCACACCCACGACGCCTGCTCCTGTTCACACGACACGCCGGGAGAGGGGGGGGGGGGGGTGGGGGTGTGAATTCCCCGAGGCTCGTTTAACGAATGAAAAACTGACTCTGCGTGACATGACGCCGCGGTTGTTATAGTTCATGAAGTGAAATAACTTGCGCTAAAATTAAAAAAAATAATAATAGTTTTGTTGATGAAATAAAATAAAACCAAAAAAAATGGTTGAAAAAAAGAAAACTGAAAATACATCGTACGCTCTCAGGGTTCATCATCCAGAAGGGAGGTCAAACAGTTGTTTATGAATTTAATTTGACTTTATTACGATACGTAGTAATTTTTTTTTTAATCTTGTACTCGGCAACTACTCCATATATGAAAAAAAAAAAAACCCTAAAATGAATATTAAAACTAATAAAATCCCAAACTTAAATGAAGCATTTCTGGAAAAAAAAAAAAAAAAAAAAAGACCAAACCTGTCCTCAAAACTAACTTGAATCGAAAAAAAAAAACAAAAAGTCAAAATAAAATAAAAACTGACCATCAATGAAAACCAATCCCAAGCGGCACCGACCTGTACGTTGGCAAAGTCGACGCGGTTGAGGTCGCTCAGCATCTGGTTGATCTGCGACGTGTTCTGCAACACGGCACGTGCCGCTTGAGCCAGGTGGTTCAGAGATGTGTATCTGCGTAGTGTTTGCGCAAAGGCACTAACTGCGGCAACCTGATTGGCGGGAGGGAAAAAAAAAGAGTGAGACAGAGAGAGAGAGAGAGAGAGAGAGAGAGAGAGAGAGAGAGAGAGAGAGAGAGAGAGCAAACAAACTGGGTTGGTTATATTATACATGCACCAACCCCCCTCTGCCCCTCCCCATTCAAAAAAAAAAAAACATTTTCATTTATCATGGGCATTAGCGCCACCTACAGAATGGAAGTGGAAGTATATCAACACCTTGGTCTGGATCATCCTCTGCGGAATCGCATTCATGGCATTATTGAGCCAACTTTCCAGGCTTTTGGCAAAATTGCGAATGGCTTGAGTCAAGGCACCTGTCGAAGTCAGATGGAAACCAAAGAATCAGGACGACATTGCTGCAGATTTATCGTGTCAGGGTTCAGTCGGGTGACTTGCGGCTCACTGGGAATGGGTCTCAGGACATCAGGGATGAGGATCTCCACGAGGGCCTGGTACATCAGATGGTCGCAGGTGCTCATCCACTTGAGCACAGCTTCGTGTCTGCACAGCGCCAGCAGTTGAGACTGCGGGAGTCGGGCTTCAATCTCACTTATGCTGCTGCGCATCAGACATCAACGCTGTAAATTTTCAGCGACACTGAGAGAGATGCTTCGAATGAGACCGTCCGCGTGTCCTCACCTGTTTTCCGTGATAGTGGCGCCCTCTACAGAGTCGGGCGAAGTATAACGCCAGAATGTTTGCCAAAGCTTCTCAATGAGGCTAAACTGCAGGTTGATAACCACGTCCAGGATGGCCTGAGAACAAAATTAGACAGGAGCGATGAGTGGTGGAAAATAATTAGCAGCGATGGGCACTTGACCCTGTTTTTGCCAGTCCATCCTCCGTCCGCGACTTGGGTACACTTCTGTCATCGTCCCTCCGTCTTTATTCATATAATAATAATCCTCGTCCTTTTAAAGGGCTTCCGTCCCAGTCCGGCGAGATTGAGCGTTCGTGAAATGGGTGTATGCATTTGTTATGTTCTCCGACTGTACACTAGGCGGCAGTGTTGCTATAAAAATACTGTTGAGATGAAATAGCCTGTTTTGAAAAAAAAAAATAGTGTTTGGCTACACTCTGACCTTGTTATTTTGCCACATACTTAACAAGGTTGGGGACGATTAAAGGGATGGATGAAAACCCACCTCCGTCCTTGCTTAAGCCATCCTTTAAAAAAAAAAAAAAAAAAAGAAAAGCTTGTCGTCCTTCGTTGTGTCTGAATGAAATCCATAGTACCTCACAGTGCTCCCTGTAAAGTGATTGTAAAGCCTTGACGTCCTCCGTGCTGATGTTCTCCGGATTGCACTGCCCCAGGTCCAGCTCCACAAAGTCGGGGAGTGCCCGTGATGCATCTGTTGCCATAGTGACAGTGAAATGGCTTGCTACGGATGGCGCGGCCACGGAGAGGAGAGTTTCAAATGGTTTCGGGAATTTGGTGGATGTTGTTCGATACGGTGGCTGACCTAAAAACTGCTGGTGATGTTGACTCTGCGCGATGACGGTCTGCTCTGCCGCCCCCGGGTGGTTATGGCCCCCACTTGAGTAGTTCTCTGTGGGGCTGGTGTCAAACTTCTGCACCGGTTTGAACCTGAAATTGTGGGGACACGTCAGTTTTTAGAAATCTGGAAGCAACAAGTGCGCACAGACGGCATGCGCGGCCCTCCTTGACCTCTGTTTCTGTTGAACGGGCTGCTGTCTGAGGGCCATGTACTGCATGTCCTCCTGGAGTCTGTTGAGCGGCGAGTCGGGCTTCACACGTATACCATAATAATGATATTTGGAGTTCCCTCTGCGAGACATCCAAAGAATGTCACACGACAAGCATCGGAAATCAAAAGACCCGACGGGCCGGCGAGAGTCGACCTCGTCCCGAGGCGCCTGGTGCGGAGTCCCATGAAAATGGAGCGGATGAGTTTGCCGAAGGACGCCGCGTTGACGGGGTCCAGCTTCTGCTCCTGGCAGTGGCGCAGGTAGTGATTGTAGAGGGTGGATCGCGGTAGACTCACGCCCTCTGCTGTTTCGTAGTTGTCCAGCAGCCACTGCAGCTGCGGGGGAAGGACACGCGCAACTCATCTCAAATCTCTTTAATTGCAACCATCCGGGCTCCTCAATACATTGAAAGCAACCCGGAAGTTGTTCTCATATTACGGAGGAGGGTATCTTAATTTGAAAATACAGGTACATATTTTGCTGAGTGTCTGTTCTATATTTAGAAATGTTTGACATATTGACAACTCTTTCCAAACACACACTGCATGCATTGGACGAAAGTGACGGCCCCCATTCTTTTTATAATACCATATTTGTTATGTAATTTCAAACATTATCCTTAAAAATATATAGGTTACAAGGAATTTAATCCCCACCCTCTAAACTTGGGAGTCACCATCCATCTGACATCTTAGTCTCTCGGTCAAGATGTATCAACTTAACCAATACTTCCTTGCGAAAAAAAAAAAAAAACCTTCCTATTTGCCAGGACTTTGGTGCCATCTCGTGGCATCTTTGGCCATTACAGGAAAAAAAGCATAAAATTACGAAAAAAACTAAAACAGAGAGTAAATATCAGAACCAAGAATTCAACCGAAATGGCAGTGAGGAAAAGAGGCAAGCGGCGAACCAAAATCAAAAAATGTGGAGTTGAGAGCGTCAGGAAAGCATCGCATGCGCGCAAAAGAAAGAGAAGGAGAGAGAGAGAGAAAGCGAGCGAGTTCAGCACAGGTCAAGGCTGAAGCAGAAGGCACAGCATTGCAACTTACATGGCTGTTGAGCAGCGAGCTTCTCTGACTGGATAAACCCTCAGATTTTTGGAGCGTCTCAATCGCCATTTCAATCTGACAAAAACCACCAAGCACAGGACAACAAAATGTAAGAAGAGGGAAACCAAAATGTAAAAGACAGGAAGGTTAAAATAAACAAATGAATAAATGAATAGTCTAGGAAAGACCCCAGAGCAAGCGCCGGTACACCCAAGCAGAGCAGAACTAAAAAAGGGGCAACGCAATAAATAAGAATGTGGTGGGAAAAAATTATTTCGGTAGTTACGAAGTTGAAACAGCAAAATGTCAGAATAACATACTGCACGATTTTATTTATTTATTTTTTTAGAGTACAGCTAACAAAAATTACATTCACAAATTTTAAAAATACAGAATTTTGGATTGGAGAATTTGCCTCCTTTGAATCCTAACATACAAAATACGCTTCAACTTTTGAATCCAACGCCTGAAATGAATGAACTTTTCGAACTCATTGAGATTTGCTTTGTAAGACAGGAAATTACGCTGAAAGCGATCCAATTGGCCTGCTAATAAAAGAACGCTTGCAGACAACCTACCCTTCCAGATTCCATTGTGACAGATCCGACTATCACAATTTCCAGATGAACAATAAAAAACAAAAAAACTAAACACATGTACAAATTGCATAACCATTCATTCCTATTTTTCGAACACGCGTTTAACCTATTTGGGGTTACCGTTCGCATAATCATCACGGTAGTCGTTCTAATTGTAGACCAACTTTTTTCCTGGTGCGAAACGGTGGTCCCCAACCCTTTTTTTCCACAACCAATTCATGGTCGGATGAGTTTTCGAGGACCGGTAACTGCAAATATGCCGGGGAATATTATTCTACATGTGAAAGTGAGGAAGCCATAGGGGTGGGGTGGAGGGGGGGCACTCGTTGGGCCACTTACAGTCGCTGGGGAGGCCCGTGCAGTCTGGGCAGAAGGGTGGGCGCCGGCGTTGTCCATGAGGTAGGACCCGGAAGCGCCGCCGATGACCTGACCCCCCGGCAGTCCCATGCTCATGCCTCCGTTGCCCCCGCTGCCGTTATTGGCCATCCCATGGGAGGTGACCACCGTGGACACTTGGGACGAGCTCCCTTGCGTGTCAAAGTAGCTCCCGCCGCTGTTCTGGCTGTACAACTGTGGCTCTGAGTATGAGTAGGTTCTTCTGTTTAGGAAGACGGCTGTTATGAGTGATTTTTGGACTTTTAGGCCCAACTCTGATTGAAACTTGTAACGTGAGCTCATGCTAATTGGCAATTTTTTTAATTTGCTAATTAACTGATTATTTAATAGGATAAAAATGTGGATGATTGTTTAGTTTTACTATTTTCTTTCATTGTATTACTTACAATTGGGGCCTGACGAAAGTTTTTTTTTTTTAAGGCCAATTCCAATATTTGGCAGAATAAAAATTCAGACAACCAATTAATCAGATGTTTAAAAAAATATATCTAATGAATAAAATAACTGTTTTGGGATCTTTAATGCTTGCAACAATAAAGATATAAATTACGGGCAAAACATTTAATGGAAAATCAGCAAAAATCTGAACATTTTAACCCCGATTTTATTTTTTTGTTGAACATAATTACAATTGTCTAATGTTGCAATACGTTTCTATTATCAATCGATTAAATCGGCCGGCTGATTAATTAGTCGGGCCTTACGTTCAATAAATCAATTGATTCTTTTGATTTAATCGGCCAGAATAAAGACTGGCCGTACTTTTTTTTTTCTTTTCCTTTTTTGGGTTAAAAGTGATTTTGTGTTTCGAGCCATACTCAGCCACCAGTGGCTCTGTGCTCATGCGTGCGTGTCAATCAATAGCTGTGAGTGACGATTTGTGTGTATGGCCAGATGTGAGACTGTGCATGTGTGTGTGTGTGTGTGTGTGTGTCTGAACATGTACTAGTGGCTCGCTCTGCCTTAGCAAGCTCCTCAGGGGGAGGCCGTTAGAACCACAGCACTTAAATAAACAGGAGGCCTACTTCTGGTCATGTTCAGGTGACTGCATGCATCGGAGCACAAACGCGCTCTCGCCGCCACCGCCATGTGCTCGTGACATCGATGGCGGCACGGGAAGGGTCGAGGGGCGAGCCGACTGGCTGTTGGGAACGTAATCCTGCCCTTTGCGTGCGTGAGCGAGGGTGGAGGCCTGACTCACATGTTGCCGTTGGTGTAGACGCCACTATTTTCCTCCACGTACTGCACCTGTGCTGGGTAAACATGCTGGACCTGTTGAACTGTCTGCGTCTGGAATGCAATCGCAGAGAAAGGCAATCGAGATCCCCACGCTAACGAAAGCGGACGTCGGCGTTCGTACGCGGCCGGCGATGGCGTTAACCTGTTGCTGGACGGGCAGCTGCTGGGTGGAGCCGGCTGGCTGGACAGGCACGGTGGTCTGAATAGGGACGGTGGAGGCGGAGTCAGCACCTTCTTCTGGGGTCTGCATGGCTCCTAAAAACACACAAAAAAAAAAATCATTGTGTGGCGTAATGGCTCGAATATGTTAGTGTGTCATACATGAATATATCTCAAAGTTGGCCGTTTCAATGTGGGGGTGTGAGCACGTCTGTCTCACATGCAGAGGTTCTGGGTTTGAATCTCAGCCTTCCTGTGCCACTCCGCTTCATCTCACATTCCCCAAACAGGCATGTGAGCGTCATTGAAGACTGCACACGGGCGTTAACGAAAGTGTAAATGATTGTTTATCTACATGTGCCTGGGATTGGGTGGCAACCATTTACTACACGTGACCTTTCAAAAAAAACAAAAAAAAAACTTGGACCGGGTTTCCAAAACAGGTTTAAGTAGCTCTCTTGGCAATCGTTTGACAAGTCTGATTCCTTTTCGCCTAGTTTCACTTGTGTAATAACGGAAATGTCCTGCCACTTGCTTCTCCATATGAAATCGTATTAATATGTTCCCAACAGTCTCCTGCCTTCATTTTTATACCTTATCTCTTGTCTGCTTTGCATCTAGTCCCATGTGTCGACAGTCAGTTTGTTTGTCCAATCCTATTTCAGCGTTAATGTTTTGCCATGTAATTCTAAACTGCTAGTCGGCTCTGAGAATCAATCATGCTAACGCTGTAATTTAGTACGTTAAATTAGCTATAGGACCGTTTCTTCTCAGCGCTTCGATTTCTAATTCGGCCTTTACTACATCATCACTTTTCCATCCAGTCACCGGATGGTCAAAGCAAAACTTTTTAGCCAACTCTTACATATTTACTACTCAGCATATTTACTAATCAGCATTTCCGCTGAGTATGATGCCTTTCTTCACGTTTTTTTCTTGTAGCGTTGTTACCCCCTTGCTGGTCAAACCCCATAACAGGCTCCTCCGTCATAGTGGAATCAATGGCACCTGTTCTGCGCCGCGTGGTACGCAATGTACTGAGCAGCTCATGCATCAGCGCCACATGGTCCTGTCTCCAGGTCAGCGGCCATAAAACCGGTTAATATGTAACCGACTCCAAATAGACGTGGCTCCTCATTGCTTTGTCAAAACTGCGCGCGGACACGTTTAAAAAAAAAGACGCTCGGGTTTGAGGAATCGGCAAGATAGTTTGGGCACAAATTACGCTAACAGCATGTAAGAACACAGCTCGGTGAGCATTTGTGACCGCGGGTTCAGAATCGAGTAGTATTTTGTAGTAAGACGATGACAGAGCATTTGGCTCCTGGGGGGCTTGGGGGGGGGGGCCTCCTCCTCATCACAGTTTCCATGACCAAACCTCTCTTGGTTAATTAAGCTGGGTTTCCTTACAGGTTCCACTCTCTCCGGGGACAGTCTGCTTTCTTCTTTCAACCTTTATCTTCCGTATCACACCGGGCCTTTTTTCTCTGGGTGTCTTTTTGAGCTTTCACTGGCATTAGTAGTTCGGACGACTGACATCCAAGTTGGAAATTGAAGCCGAGTCAATCTCTGCACCGGGATGCAGAAAAAAAAAGCAGGAAAAAGAATCGCCCATTTTCTTCAGTCATGTAGCCTCAACTACTTGATAAGGACATACGGCCATGACGGAATTGCTCGAGGGCAAACATGTTGATCGAAGCAAAAGGAAAATGTCTTAACTTTGATTCAACACAAATGCAGTCAAATCAGTCTGCTATCATGGATGATGTTTATAGTTGAGAAGTCGGAATTCCAACGAATCGGAGACGTTTTCAATAAAAATGTATCCGAATGATTCATCGATTATCAGAAATAACTCGCACTTAACTTGATAATCGATTCGTTGTCAATGAATGGTTGCAACTCAAAAATAGAGTGGAACGGATTCAACAGTTTCTGTCCCATTTCTTGCTTCGATTCAGCGGACGTTGACCACCTGGCGGCCGTTTAAAAGACGTACGGCCAGACAAAACTCCGTCAGAGGTTTTAGATCATTTTAAGACAAATCAAGGCTCAAACAATGACTCGATTATTAAAATAGTTGTCTTTTAATTTGATAACCGATTCAATTTTGACACTGCTAGTTGCAAGTCTGATGCTTCACATGAATAAACGGAGATTCGGCCTTTTTTTTTTTTTTGTTTGTTTTGTAATCCCAGAAAGTCGACTCCATGGCCTACCAAATGAAAAAGAGAACCGCTGCATCACACAACTAAATTCCCGTTTTGCCTCACCCCAACCCCCTACGCGCAACGCACACACACACACACACACACACACACACACACACACACACACACACACACACACACACACACACACACACACACACACACTAAGCACACCTTCTGCCTCACTATTCAGGCACACTCCCTTGTGGCCCACTTAAACGCTGTGCTCCGCCGAGCAAGTGCAAGCCCTACAAAGACACACAGGAACAAAAGAGACAGAGGAGGGCAACATTTTTGTGCCCTGCACCCGCACGCCCAATTCAATTCCTCTTGCTAACATGACAATCACGCCAAGCGCAAGGATTCCCCCCCCCCCTGCCCCCTTTGAGAAAATGCTCGCCGATGTACTTTTTTAGCAAGTTGGCGAGACTGAGTCATGACTTTTTAAAAGTAGTTGAACAACTTTAACTCGAGGCAAGGCGGGGATCTGATGACAGCATTGCAGGGAAACAGAAGAAGGCGTGAGAAGGCAATTCATGAGAATTCAGTATTTTTTTTAAATGCTGAATAAAATTGGAATTTAATAGAGTTTTATGATAAAAGGCCCCCCCCCCTTAGAATAAGCTCACTTTTTCTCATCATATTGCAGACTACAGGGGAAAAAAAACAAACAAAACAAGCGATCCTGGTCAGTTTTATGAGAATGAAGAGCTACTTTTTCCCCTTAATATTGTAAACATTTCCCTCTAATATTACTTCATGTTTACAATCAAACAAATAGGAAACTGTTTCTTCACATTTTTTTTTTTGCTTGGCTAAACCAGACTGTTGGAACCCCCCCCCCCCCCCCCCCCCCCCCCCCCCCCCCACCCCACAAAAAAACAGTGGCCCAATGGCCACCACGTTAACTGATGCTGGCCCGACTGAATGTTAATGGATGAACAAACATGCCCTTTTTCGGGGTCTCCTGAAAAGTGATGATACTGGAAAGCGATACATAAATGAGATGAAATCAACACGTTTATGCTAAAAAAAAAAAAAAAAAAAAAAAAATGTTCAGTACAGTTTAAAAATCACATGAGCCGTATAATGGAGAGTTGGAGAGTATAGATATTTTTTTCAGCGGATGCCTTGATCCCCTGTGTGCATTTTGGTTCCTGCGACTCCACGCTACACAATTTCATCCACAGGTAAGCCCACATAATAATGATGAATTTTGTTCAGTCATCCGAAACAACAACCAAAACATCCTGACTCATGCGGTCATAAGATCAGATGTGGCTTTGAGCTCCACTTTCACTGACAACCTAACATGAGTGTCTTCTTGGGTCAAGGCAGAAAGCAAACAGAATACAAGCTGCATTCTGCTGAGCCATGAAAATGGATGGCTGCATAATTGAATTAATCATCCCCCTCTTTTAGTGATTGGAAATGCAACAGGATCCGGGCGGCAGGTGGCACGTCGCTATTCCTGCCCCGCCAGATGACAGGTAAGAGGTAACATGAGATGATAACTAGAAGTCCCCCAAATTGTGTGTGTGTGTGTGTGTGGGTGTGTGTGTGTGTGTCGTTGAACGGGGCGAAGTGGGGAAGAGGGCCAGGGGAAAGGGGGTTGCACAACCCAGTTTAGGCTGTAAATGACAACAGAACATTAAATAGGTTTGTATTATTTACTACTGTGCTACTTTAATCAAACTGCCTTGGCTTTTGTGCGGTCGCTACGACTTGCATATTGTGCAGTTCTTTTTGAGATGCGTTCAAGTACATCGAGGTGGTACCACCTGTCGCAACCAACAACCCCACCCCTGGCTCCTCCCGTCCTCTCACCTGCTCCATCTCTCAGTCTAAAACTTGACAGAAGGAAATATTTGAGTTTTACTGGCATCCTGTCATCTCGATTGTTTAATGTATGGCGGTAATCTAATAGAATGGTTCCAAATTGACCAGAATCTTCCATAAAACTCCACGTTGACATTATCAGGTATTTTGACGACAATATCACGATACAGGCAAGTACCTGATAACAAAAAAAATCAGATATACTGTCAACATATAAATTTTGCTTCCATCAGAAAATAACAGTATTAGCATTTGATGCTGGTGTACTGACAATCAATATATGTGGCGATGCTGAGAGTGTCTTCTCCAAACTGGAATGAATTGATTCCATATTGATAGCTTCTACTTCAAAGCCATATCAACATTATCCGGAAATTATTGTGAAGAATCAGACAACACAAATCGCAATTTCCCCATGAAACTATGGTCAAATCTGTCCATTGGACGTTGATGCTATGTCAATACGATACGTGGTGATATCGCTATTTTGTCATCCCCTAAATCAAACAGAATTTTTCCAAATTGAGTATAGTCCTTCACTTTAAAAGCCACACGACCATGAAACGGACAGGTGTTGCTTTTTTGTAACCTTCCTCCCCCTCCAAAAATAAAAACTTAGCCTTGCGTTATCAGCGACTTTATCAGCTTCGGAAACCACAAAGAGGGGCAGGCAGGTGGAGGAGCTAGCGACGCTATGTCGCTTTCCCAGCCCTTTAGACAAAAGGGAAAGTAAGGGCTTAGCTATTATTAGAACACGGAGAACCCCAGTTTAAAAAATACAACACTTCGCTCCGACGTGATTGTCGTAGTTTAATGGGAAATTTTGGTCACATATCTTCCCGATACAGTCATTGTGAGTGGGGTTGGGGGAGTGGCGGGGTGGGGGGAAGCGAGACACCTGCTCCAGCTGACCAGCTAGCATCAGGGAGGCGGAGGGGGCTCGCTAACCCGGAGCTAGCACCTGACTCGCGAGTTTGATTTCAACATTTCGATCCAAAACCCGTGGCCTCAAAGTACAATCGCATCGGTCGGCGGTGGCCATACGGTCTCCACGCCGCGGACCAGGGGAGCCGAGGCGGCGTTAGCACGCAAGGCTAACACGTTACAAAGAAGCAGGCTCGCTAGCAAAAACTGCTACCAGCCACACAGCCAGCGGAGCGAGCCTCCAGTGGACAAAAAAATAAATAAAAAAGAAAAAGCAAAGGGGAAAAAAAAAACAACTCCCATGCACCGCGTTCACGTCTTAAAGAAATAAGAGGAAGCATTTGAATTAGAAGGAAACTAACGAATGGGAGTAAAATCAAAGGTTGTTTGCAAACCTGCTTGTGGAGCGGCGGGTGAGTATGAGGATGGCGGAGGAGGTGGTAATGATGAAGCGAGAGCTTGTTGTTGGTGGGTTACAGTCGCCACGACTACGGTGGCTATGGCGCTGCCTCACCGGGCAACAGTTGCTAGAAAACTCCCCGCCAACTGGGAGGAGATTAGCTCTCCCTTACTTAGCGGAAATAATAATACTGTAATAACAATAACAATAATAATGAAAATACACGCCTCTTTTGTTCATTTGACACCACATACATACGTGGGCAGTGCTTTAATGTGTCGCTCAACTCCAGCAAACTGTGATTGCAGGGAAGCATCGTTTAATAGCACCAAATCAGCCATAAATAGCAACGATTATCATTGAAACGCGATTATGCATAGTTTTAAACTAAGCATTGGTGTGAAAGAAGCAATTGAACAATGATTTAGCTTGGTAGCAGGACAGATTGTGTAAAAAAGGGAAAATAAAAGGTAAAAGTGAAGGAGGGAAAAAAGTTAAAATAAGACATTTCATTTTTCAAACTTTGCTGCTGTAAATTGCGAATTTCTCCATTGTGAGAAAATAAAGGTTTTTCTTATCTTTTTTTTACCATCATATAGGGCATACAATCCATTGATAACTTGGCCAAAGTATGATAGGGCCTTAAAGTGTATTTCCAAACTTTCAGATTTTAATTGATTTGTTTCCCCCTTCACAATACAAAAAGAAAAATAAAATGACATAATTCCAAACTTGGACAAAGTGGCACATTAAAAATAACTAGTGCCACATCCAAGCGTTATTTTAATCATTCTGCTCTGAAATTGTTTGACCGGCATACACACAACACAGTTATTGAAACCTTTTTAGCCTCGTGGAAGAGAAAAATAAAGTCAATTACATGAATTGTCAACATCAATTTGATGAGACAGTTCACATTTGAACGGGCACAGCCTCAGTGTACCCAAACTTTGTAGCACTCATGTAAAAGAATGACAGTCTAAAAGAGTTAATGATTTCACTTTGATGTCATATGTGTCACTTTGAGAAAACATTTAGGTTATTTTATTCCCGTCAAATATCCAAATGTATCAAATGTAACCAGTATATAAAAGTTAAATACAACTTCAAAACATGTCAAATGAATACCTGATAGCAATGTGAGTCCAAAAACAAATAAGACCAGCATTCACACCACCTGTAATCATCATTTAATTTTTAAAGTTAAAAAAAAAAATTTTCAAGAAACCATATATAGTTTTTTTTTCAGCACAGAATACTGCAGTGAAATTATCAATCTTGTTACTATAGTGACTAATGTAAGCCTGTGGGGGAAGGTGAAAATGACGTACCAGACGTACAGACAAAAGTATTCTGCATCCAAATGCAATTAGTTCTATAGTCAGACATGACTCGCGGTGTAAATCTGCACAGATATGGCTTAGACCATGTTTTGTTCCTTTCGTGGACACATGCAAGCCGGCGCATTGAATAAAGGGCAGTTTGCGCCGTTGTAGACATGAACGCCGCCGACTTGATTTGCCATCAATCAAACCAGCTTTGCTCATTCGCCTCAAATGAGCAAGGGGCGCTGACTTTTTTCGGACAAACATAGGCTACTTTTGAATTCTTACTACATTTAGGAGTGTACATGTTACATTAAATTGGTGTTCTGATAATGAGGAACCACCTGGGCCCAAAAAGTTAATGATTCCCTGATCAAATCAATGATTTTCCAAATACTTGTGGATCAAACTCAATACTTCAATATAAAGTCACCCTCTTATTTGGAAGCAAGAGATTCTGTCAAGTCTATGTGTTCTTGACGTTGCGTCCAAAAATAGTGCAAAGGAAAGAATGCCACAGGTTGGCGTGCTGTCATTCCTCTGTTGGGTTACGGTACACTTGGCACGCATGGGCTTCCATCACGTTGAAGAAGTCACCTCCTGACGTTTGTACGTCAAACCCTGCACGTGAATTTGCACCGTTAAGACGACATGGAAAGTTGTGACGTGAACATCCACAGGCGTTCATTACCTGTGTTGCAGATCCCGCTGCCTCCAAAGGCGTCCGCTTGCCCGAGGTGACCGGACTCGGCCCGCGCTGACATCCCGTCGTAGGGAAAGAGTGCCTCCATCTGCCCTGAGAGATCTATAAGCACCCAGGTAACACGTCTTCATTCATCACACACTCAAATAGAACTCATTTCCATTTTAATTAGGGACGTTGGAATTGCTTGAAATAAATCATAAACATTAAAAACAATCGCTCCTGATGGCAGATTCACTAATCGACGTCAAATTTTGTGCATATGTCCATCATAATTTGACAGAGGAAAAAGTCTCAAGGCCCCATGCCCAAAATTGAACAGGAAGTCGGCCATTTTGGCATGAATCCGTCATTTCCGTGGCTCGTACACATCGACAAATTCCTGTGAGGGGTTTTGCCTGATTGAGCTCCTCCCAAAAGACGGGCAACATTAAGCCGCCAAGCTTTTTTGCCTATTCTGTGTAATGAGTTCACTTAAGTTTGAAGATTGAAGAATCACCATGAAAAAGGGGGTGGGAGGGTCCTTGCATAACTGCTCGCAGCTTTACTTACCCATTGTGATGCAAAGCCCTCCTTTTTCAAGCCTGTTCTTATTGCAGTGGTGCAAAATGATAATAATTATAATTTTCTTTTTTTTTTTTTACACCTTAACTGTCTAACCTGTGCTAGATGGCGGGCTATGTTATCTATTTAAAGGTACACAGAACTGAGACGCTCATTCTTAGATACTCGCCCTCCGCCTGTCTCACTTTATCAGCATCATTAAAATATGCCGCTGTGTGACAATAATCTGCTCAAAACAAATTGGCGAACCGCCACCCGCACAGTCGCTAATAAAGCTCTTCACATGCCATATTTGCCCTTTAACTTTTTCTTTGGCGCCGCACCATCGTCTTGTCTTCAAAGCCTGAGGATGTCGTTGGTGATGAGCTCCCACAAGTACCTGTGCTGTGGTCTGCTGCCGATCCGGGGGTCCGACTGGACCGCATGGATGCACCACTGGGAGGATGGGGAAGGCGTGAGAGTGCCGGGCAGGGGTCAGTGCAGAAAAGCTGGCCAGGAGGAGGATCGACGAACCTGAAATATCACAGTTATGTACGTAAATACTCAATGAATACATCCATCTGTTTTCTACGCTGCTTTTTTTCTAATATGGGTTGCAGCTGAGCGATGTGGGCCTGTCCATACTGACTTTTGTTCCTTTCTGTAGTCCATCCATCCGTGTTCCATAACGCTTTTGCTCACCCGGTACACGGGTGAGCTGCGGCCTTTCTGTACAGTGCATTTACTGTTGATGTTTCACATCAGTGAGTCACTTTGAAACTGGAGAATTTTTGTGCAGTCATGTGACTCCCTGGCTCTGTTTGATTGGTCAAATGTGTCCACTTGGCATCAAAGATTTTCTGACAATGCAGAAACTCTGGATAAGAACCAAATGGTCCCACAAAAAGAGTAAAGAAAGCAGCAACGAGGATTTTACAATTGATTTAACCTCTAAGAAGTACTTACGGCACGGGCCTCACTCTCCCACTGGAGTTTGAATGGTATTTCTTTTCCCCGTTTACATTTTATGATTCACTTATCAAATTCCTCAGCCGCTCCTCTCAGTGGCTATAGCATCCATTAACGGCGCCTACTCTCGACCAATGAGGCGAGGCGAGCTCTGCTTTTACGGGCTGATTGTCTACCCAGAATCCTGCAGTGCGGGTTCGGGGCCCACCGCTGCTTTGAGAACAATCGCAGCCAGCGAGGGGCCGCGAAGCATCTGGCCTCTCTGACACAGAAATCCTTTACTACAGCCTTCACTGCATCCATCCGTCCATCCATCCATCCATCCATCCATCCATTATCTACAGCTTATCCGCATCCTTGTTATTTGTTTAAATGTATTCTATTAGTAAGAATATAGCGTAATATTTATTCATTTTTTGATAACTCTAGTTCTGGATCTTATTACATTGTCCTGCTCCCAGTGCACTCTATTTTTATTGTCTAAAGTATTCTATTCATATTTATAATATCAAATAAATCTAGTCAGTGCATTTAATGAAAAGAAATGTCCTAAAATGTCATTTAAAGAATATGCCATTACCTGCGACTGTCTGGCAGGGTGCACATAAGAGCCGTGTGAGGATCGTGGGGGGAGTCGCCTCCCTGTGGACCAGCTAAGGGGGGGAAAAAAAAAGATGAGATACACTTTGAGTGCAGCCATCTGCAGCATAAGTCTAATGGATAGTTCATAGTGTGTAAATATCTGCCTTGAATATGTGGGGGGGAAAAAAAAACTCCCGTGTTTTTTCCATACTTGAGAATGGCTCTCGAGAGGCTGTGGAGGACGCTATCAAGTTGTCTCTCCTGGCTGGTGGAGAGAGGCTGTGGTGCAAATGGTGGATGGTTAAGCAGTCTGTCAGAGACTCTTGGGTCACATCAGATGTGGATTTCATCTGAGGAAATGACACATATTGGATATTAGCGCTCGAACATTTCTAAAAGCACTAACAGTGGATATGAATAGACTGCAAAGCACAACCCTGTTCAAATGCCAGGTTGGTGTGAAGTGAAAAAATAAACAAGACAAAGATAAATCTTTTCAAAACTTTTCCAACCGTTAATGTGGCATGCATCCCGACTGAAATTAAAAGGAAATATTTTTGAGAGGGGAAGTAAAAATAAATGACAGAGGGAATGTATGCACCCCTTGCATAACTGGGGATATGGCTTTGTTCTGAATTATCCGTTCACATTTAAACTCATGTTAAAAGATAGTCAGTATATAACCTTCCGCAATTTAAAGTAACACAAGCACATTACAGGGCTTGTACCCAAACTGCCACTGGAATATTTGTCCAAGTGAGACCATAGCTAGCTAGCTAGCTAGATAGATACATAGCTAAATACATAGCTAGCTAGATACATAGCTAGATAGATGGGTTAGTCACCAAAGAAGATATTTATTGACTTGTAGTTTGAATTGTCTGAACCTTTTATAGATAGTCAAGGGTCATATTAATGTTCCATCTGACTTTTGCTATTATGACGTCGTTTCATTGCAAAAGTTTCTAATTAAACAGGTTGTTCTGCGGGGAGCTTTATCAAACTCAGATTGCATCTACGGTGACAAAAACAGTCGTTTATGACCTGCTGGCTGTGTTAACATTTCGTAGGTGGATGTTTAAACAGAGAAGCGTTTGATATTTTCAGCAACACGAAAATGTGAAATTATTGGTTGCCAAGGTGAACTTTCTTGTGTTGGATACAGAGAGCACACTCTGCTACAACATAATTACCACAATATACTGAAATGAACTGTATTACTTTTGTTTTCCAGGTATTTACTGGATGGGAAAAGCAACTTAGATGATATGACACTTTTGTTTGGTTCATATGAGCAAAAGCATCGAGCATGTACCTGCCAGATTTGTGTTGCTGCCTTAGCGTGTCCCGGTGTATTGATTTTTCAAACAATGAATGCTTAAAGAATGTTGATATCAGTGACGATGGAGATATGACCAACATGATAACCCGAGCGCTGTCTATAGGTGAAAAACAGGCAGTTGCAAAACTCTGTGTGGACCTCTGTTTGAGGACCCCTAATGTAAACCATGGACCCTGCCAAGCTTCTAACCTTTTTCCGTAGCTGTCTCTCCGCAGTGGAATGGGACCTGACGTGCTTCCTCAAAGAGCTGGGATCAGTGTAGCGCTTTGCACAGCCTGGCACTTGGCACGCGTACGGCTTCTGAATCCACATCCCAAAATCTGACTGGAAATGTTTTTTTTTTTTTTTGAATGACACAGAACCTGTTGGAAATGCGGCACTCACTGTGTCCAGGTGGGTGCGCTGGTGCTTGGCTCTGTCGCTGGAGTTGCTAAAGGCCTTGAAGCATCCTGGATGCTGGCACAGGTACGGCTTCTCCCCCGTGTGGCTGCGCAGGTGGATCTTTAGGTTTTCCAGGCGGGAGAAAGCCTTCATGCAGCCCTTGAACTGCGAGAAAAGAAAAGAAATTAAGGGTAGGCGTGCTACTTTAATCGTGCAACGATATTTCTCCTGTATGCATTTTTTTAAAAAGATACTTTCACGGAGAACGACCTCAGCCTCTTTTGTCCTCCTTTGAGAGGGACTGAAAGCTGTGAGCGTGCTCGCTGGAACTCAACACAACACAGCCTGCTTGGCCTTGATGTGTGGGTGGACATGCAAATTATTATATTAAAAAAAACGCTTAAAAAGCTGGAATTCATGTTGACAGTTGCATGAAAACGAGCCGTAATTGCTCAAGACTATCCTTGTCATAAAGCAACACGTTTAGGAACGTGCCATCAGTATTGATTCAGCAACATCATGCAAATTTAGCACTCATCATTTCATCTTAGCGCAATCACAGTGTGAGGTGGTCAGATGTTACTAATGTTATGGGATATTTAATGTTAATTTAAAACTCCAAATGAAAACTGTCTCATTTGATCAAATGCGTGGACTTTACTATCAGTTATATCGAGCTGCCAGCAGGGGGCATTGTTGATTCACATGACGGTTTCCTGTCGAGATTTTCAGTCCCAATAGTTAGACATGATCATCTTTTACATATGCACTTCCCTGGAGATGGAAATAATTCTGTCCACAAAGAAAAAAAGTCCTACATTCAATATGGGTGTGAATTGATTGAATGGCGACCAGTCCAGGACGTACCCTGCCTGTGTAGGGCTCACGTAAACAAACATTCGCACTAACTGGCAATTTCCAGTCTATTATGAACCTCAAGTGACTTTTGGCATCTAAAGTCTACACAGAAAAGCCTGGAGCTGAAATTGGAACTGTGGCCCCAAATTGGACTCTTTCTGAGCTTCTATGGAAAAAAAGCGCCTGACCGACACAGGATGATACCAAGTATTAGTTTGTTTCTTTTGCAATGTCATGCCAACTCGCTGAGCGCATCGCTGAAATATGCGACTCAGCAAAGTTTTTCAGGTCCAAGCTCAGTTCATTTTACTCTCCGTCTTCCTGTTCGCAGGGGGGTTGGAATGTCCTCCCCGTTTAGACCCGATGAAGAAAATACACAGAGCGTGTCCTATTTTGTTATTGTGTAGATTCCTCACATACTCTCACCTCTCTGTCATTTATTATTCACAAACAGCATTCCTTCGCTCGCCACATATTTGGAAGTAATAGAGGTACTTCATTAAGAACTGCTACAGTGCAGTAGTCTTTTCTTTCATAAAAATAAATTAAAAATACTTTTCCATCACTTTCGAGTTGTAAATCGATGCTGGCACTAATTCCTGTTGTCAGACATTGCAATGAAACATTTAGAGGTGAAATGTGGGGGAAAAAAAAACATTTACAGAGCAATATATTTATAATTGTGATAATGCAAAATGAGTTATTGTCTTATGTGTCTGTAAAGTGCGTGAAAGGGTTTGTTCGAATTCTTCATAAAAAAAAAAATTAAAAAAAGCAATAAATCACTAAAAAAAACCCCAAAGATAGTGCAAACTATTATTAGTTCAATCCTTGTGTACATCAGAGTGACATTCACAAATCATAGAGCCAATCCAGGATTATCTTGACAAACACGTGATCGTTTGGCAGGCACAAGTTGAGGCTTGTTCTTTATGTTCACGGTGTAACAAGAGCAGCCACTATTGTTCCCCACTGCTTCGACTTTTCCCTACCTGCCACTCATTCCCCTACACAAACAGCTGAGCTTTTAGCCTGGTCTTGCATGACACAATCTCCCGCAAGCCTTGCCAAAAAATGTGCAAGGGAAGGCCTGAGGTCTTGATGTAATGTCGAAGAAAAAAAAATATCATCAAAGTGCAAATCAAACAGTGACAGAGACAAGCAGTAGAAATGCGACAATTTGCACCAACCCCATGGCAACAGCGACAGCTTGGAGCAAAATAAGTGAATATTTTCCTCACAAAATGCCGCCGGCCTCTATGCGCGCTGTTAATAATTGACCCGTTGATGGCGGACACATGAACCGTGTCTTGGCCAGAGTTGTGCATTACTCGTCCGCGTCCTACGTAATTTCCCAGTGGGAGTGAGTGAAAAGAAACCGGGGGCGGGGAGGGGTTGGGGGGGAATGCAGAGTGAGAGTGTTGAGAATGGGAAATATTTCATGGCACATTTAAAAAAAAAAAAATCAAGTGAAAAGTTGGCAGCATATCTGAATGAACTCACTCAGCCAGAATGGCATTCAGTCGAGTGCAACCAAGGTTGAACCATGAAGAATACAAAAAAATAAAAAGAAACCCTACAAAATAAGTGCAGTCACATTTCTGTTTGTTTGTTACTGGACAACTTTCTGGTTCCAGAAGGAGAAATTGATGTGTTTTGAATGGATGGACTATGACATTTCGATTTGGAATGCACTGCTCAATGCCTTAGTCCAGATGCATGACCACATTTTATGCTCATGGTCTGCAGCCTGGCGACCACTCATGTCGCCACATTGAAGACCCCTGTGATTGACTGTCGACGAAAATCAGATGAGATTCAGTTACCCTAATAAAGACCAGAGTTACAGAATATGCATCGGCGGATTACCATGCACTTGTTGGGCTTCTCTCCGGAATGGACCCTCATGTGGATCAGAAGCTTGTAACGGGCATTGAAAGGCTTGAGGTTCCGCGGACAGCCCGCCCAGTAGCATGTGAAGTCCTCCGCTTTCCTCTGGTCCACGTGTAGCTTTTCTATGTGCTTCGCCAGCTCGTCTTTTTGGTCATAGACTGCACTGCAGTCCGCCCACAAGCATCGGTGGGCGCCGTAGTCCTCCGTTTCTCCCTCTTCTTCCTCCAGCATCGGAATCTGGGGGAAAAAGCTGAGGCCGTGCCGGGGTGCAACCACGGGACCCTGGTTGACAATGTCTTGGGTCCTTATTTTGTGGTGAATTCTGGGAAGGTGAATGTGGCGGTGGGAGTGGTAGGGCGGTGGAGGTCCCTGTGGAATAATAGCTTCTTCAACAGGCAGTGGAACCGACTGTAGCTGCGGAGTTGGTCTGTGGTTAGTCTCCTCGCTACAGGTTTCGGAAATATTTCCCAGTGCGGCCACTTTCTGAGAATTTGGAAGGCACTGTTGTTCCACCACCATGTTAGCCATCTGACTCCCCGGAGCCCCGCCCTCTTCCAGAACCTTGCGACTGCACTCGCCCGGTGAAATCAGAGCTGGTAAAGAATCTGGCATCGCGTAGGGATGAACCTGGGGGATGTAAGAGCCCTTCACGCCCAGGAAGTGGCCATAGCCCTCGGACTGGACGGGCGAGAGAGTAGAGTGAGATGTCGGAGAGCTATTGATATAAGCCACAAGCGATGTAGGTGAGGTGCGTATGATGGAGTTGAAATCGGCGCCCATCACGTCCGACAAAGGGGACATGGAAAGAGCTCTCTTCTTTACGTTATGCTGTCTGGGGCTCCCGGCATCACCCGCGAAAAGATACGAGGGCAGGGAGGCCGACGTGCTCGTGCCGCCAGAAGCCTCTGTGCTGGACACGGTTCTGCCAAGGGGGAGGCCGAGTTGCTCACCGCTTTCGCCGGCCAGGGCGGAACACGGCGCCTGCCCCAGCGGCGGTTGGACACGGTAGCCAAAAGGCCAATCGTTTCGTCCGCTAAACACCGACTGGCTTTCGAAAAGACTGAGGGTGGTGGACGCCAGGGATTCTCTCGATAGTACCGACCTGAAGCAAAAAGTGTTGTTGTACACTTGCATGCTTCAGAAGACTGACTCGGTGACGTGGTCACCCACCTGGCATCAAGAGGCGGGTGGTAAGACGCAACAACATCGTGTTGATGACCAGGGACAACTGACATTGGTGAGCTGGTTACCGTGGGGTTCGAACCGGCAGGATGCCGGAGAACTTCAATGGCAGGTCTGGAACCGCAGCTACCTGCTGGACCAAAAAAACAAAAACGGATACAAAGTGCATATGTAAAGTCGGGTCGACACATACCAAGACCTGAGCTGAAATTGAGCATTTTGCCCACCAATAGATCAAAGCCAGCAGAGGGCCGATTGTCGGGTTTCTCGAATATTTAATCATTATCTACTGTGTGCTCTGCAGGATTACAGAGGAGCTTTAAGTGGGTTATACCCACGGATAGACCCGAATCAAACACTAGACTTTGCTTGGAGAAAGTTCACCACCAGACCTCCAAACAAATATGAATCATACGTGTTTGTTTTTAGCTACAGAATTTCCCTTGACAACCTGAGGAGGCGCATACACCTTCGGCTCTGTTAATCACTAATGAGCCGTTTGGCTCGTTCCGCCTTCCCCTCCGTGCAAACTTACTTTAGGGACCAATTTCATTCTTGGTTAATTATCAATTTAAAAAAAAAAAAAAAGAGGCCAAGAGGTTGGACGAGATGACCGCATGGGAGAGCAAGGTGAGAAGTAGGTGGCATTTTGATTACATATTTCAAATGTGTAACCCGTGAAGATTTCAAGTGAGGTGAGGCAGCTTGGGAAAAATAATGAAACAGAATTCTTATTAAACCTGCCAATGACAAAATGAAGGGTGTGGTGCGGATGTTTGTTTTAGAAAAAAGGGCGCTTTTTTTTTTTTCTGTATTCAAGATGCCCAACATGGCACACCACACAAATAACAACATCTCCATCGACGATCACGAATCCACTGCCCCAATGTGTGTGCCCACTTTAGGATTAGGATTGTTCAGCTGTGGACTGCCGTCACCTTTTTTGGAAGAGCCTCCTTGAATGGTCGCATCTTGCTGGTACAGCGATGTCGCCGGCTTGACGTCCCGCTTCCCATTTGTCAACACCTTCCTGTGGAGGCTCAGGCTCGGCAGGGTCACAGGGCCGCCGTTCTGCTTCCCGCTGCTTACTTTATTCGCACCCAAGAAGGGAAAACTGCCCCGCGGAGGGGATGCCACGGGCACCTTGACGACCTGGGACTGGTGCCCTCTTATCTTCCCCAGCGACGGGGACATGCCGCATGGCGACACCAGGAGCTGGCAACCCTTTCCACTCATGGCCGAGTGTTCAGAGGGAGCTCATATGGATCCGGCGCCTTTTAGGTTTGGCATGCTGCTTTTTGGCTCATACCTGCCAGGTGAAGAGGAAGAATGATGACACTGGAAAAAGTAATATTAAACCAGGTTGGTTGACTTTTGTACTTTGAAGATTGCAACCATTTGTGTCAAATCCATCCACACATCAAGGCTCATTTACATGTACGTACAATGACAACAGAGAAGTAGTTGCATCATCCCTTCTCGAACTGAGCCTTACCATATCGACTCATAATTGTAATTCACGGAGTCAAACCATATCGACTTGTTTCACACCCCCACATATGGAAAACCATATTGAATCACTTTTTGTGAAGAGATACTCCCCCTATATATATATATAAATATATATATATATATAGTTCATTCATATTGTAAAATGGCAACAAGAAACTCATTGCATCTTACCCATCTCGAACTGATCCATACCGTATCGTATTTTATCGTAATTCCACTGAATCGAACTATATCGAGTTGCACTGAAGCATATTTTGAATCGCATCACACCCCATGTAGAGGTGCAAACCCATTCCTTCCGGATGAGATATATTGTAGGAATAATAGCGCACAGAGAAGCGTGGACTCACTTGATGTTGTTGTTGTTGCGGCTGTTTCTCATGGTGACATGCTTCCTCCGCTCAGAGTGCAAAGTGAGCAACAACAGCACTGGTGTAACAGGCACCGTGTTGGGATGGGTGGGTGCGCAAATCTCAACGTCACTCTTCTGTTTCCAGTAACTTTTTTTTTTCTCCCCCCCATGTGAACTAGTAATATCATTAACGTTGAGGATTTTTTCTCCCCTTTTTGTGCACATAGGTGTACATTTAGAAATGACATCTTTAAAGATTAAACAGCAGAACAAGTGACTAAAAAAAAGCAAATTTTCTCATATGATGTGACAATGTCCTAACTTTAATTGCTTTATTCTAGTCGTGTTTTTATATATATAATTTCCCAATAAAACAAAAAATAAAAGAATCAGAGGGAATGTATTCGTTCATGCAGTGTGATTAGTTTTCTACCCCCCCCCAAAAAAACAAACAAAAAAACAAAACACGTAAACCTCCTTTCAGTTTGGCTTGAACCCCTATTTAAGTCATTACATTCGGCCAAGGCATGCAATGTTTGCTGTGTGGAACGTTCTCCTGGTTGCCATGGAAACCAGCTTTGATTTTTTTTATTGACTGATGATAGGTGGTTGTAACTCTCATCTGAACTACCTACTGACATGCAATATATGAGAGCTATATCCATTCTTCTGCCATGACAAACATACGCTTGGTTTTGATTGACACGGTCATTCTGATGATTTAACTCCCCAGATCTCCACTGATAAACCTTTTGTCAATGAATATCTCTCTGAATGACACAATCAAAAGTGAGCAACTGTAGCTGTCTCAGAACTGTTTTTTTTTCATGCAGTTTATGTAATGGAGAGATTGTTGTTGTGAACTGAATGTTGTGATATTGCGTCGGTCAAAGGTGTGTGACAGCAGCTGTTGTGATTATTCTTACCACTTTTTTTGACATTCTAGTCCTGCATTTCTCAAACCATTCTCACTACATCTCCTGCCACTTGCATATACAGTATAAAAAAAAGGCATGTTTTCTTGACTAAAATTTTGAGAAATGTACCCTCGCTTGCCTGCAGGGGGTAGTATTGGTACACTGATAGATTGTCAGCCATGGGAGTTCATGGCGAAACTCGGCAACAAAGTTGGGAATGCCCACACATTCGAAAAAGATCCAATACAGCGCTGCCAGAGAGGTATTAATGTAACATGGCCAGTAAAAGATTCCTGGCAAGTCTTTTTTTCTCTTATCATTGAATTAGGAAGATCATGTTGCTGGTACAAATGTTCATCTTGTCCGATTTTCTTATAGGCTAATGTGTGTATTTGTGTGGAATTTTTATTGTTTTTCTTTTTCAAATCAGGATTTTGTGTAATTCTGGGTGGAGGTGAATTCAACAGGGCCAGTAAATAAAACTGACTGTACAGTACTTTGATTACGCAAAATTTGTGAAATGATAAATACCTGACGTGTTATTTTACTATTTCCTTCATTATCAAAGGGTGGAACAAAAATGTGTATGTGTTTCCCTACTTCAATAATTAATGTGACACTGCCTCTTTAAAGTATAACTCCCGCCTTTGACTCTTCCCCTTTTAATCTTGGTGCCATGCATGTGCAGGTAAGCATTTTAGAGCTGGGAAAAAAAAAGAACAAACAAACTTGTATTCAATTACAAGTTGAAGTATTTTAATACATTGCAGTGCCATATAATTTGTGTAGGGCACGCTGTATCACTCTAATTGACTTGTAAGACATTTTTGCTATTTTCGTCAGGTATATTGTGTTATGTTTGAACCCATTTTCTCTTGATGTCCACGGAGACGGGCACGCTGTATCAGTAATTGACGGGAGGACGTTGTTTTCTGCTATTTTCGTCAGCCAATACAAGAAATCCCGCTGTGCGTCGTCAATATTCTGAAACACAACACAGTCGGAAACGACCGGTTACATTAATTAACAATGCGCTTCTTATTGTGCTTGTAGTCTGCAGCGGCCGCCCAACTGCACACACTGCATCATATTGCACCACAGCAAAGGACAACTAGCTCAACTTTGTAAACATTTATGCTCACTTGCTACATAAAGAAAAATGCAAAGAAGATGGAGCTGATGGAAAATGCTGAAACCAGTTCTGTCCAATCCTGAACTGCAGGTCAACATGTGCAAAGCAATAACTTATTTAAAGAAGGGAATCCGTTTAAATCTCAATTTGGTGTTATTGTTTTAATTGTGGCACGGGGCGTTTAAACAGTGCAGTTTGTCCAGTTTGCATTGCTGATGGTGTGTGCATTTCAGATTAAAAAAAATGCACATCCAGATGGATGAAGCTGACATATTTGGAAGACAGACCAGTCGTCTTCTGCGTCTTCACACCAAAAAGCACTTCTTGGCTCCACTCCATCTTCCAAACAGAGTGTTGTGTTTTCCAAATGTCAGAGAGTAACAGGAGGGAATAGCTTTGGAAGCTGCGGGAAGAATAACATCACACTTGTTCGCTCTTCTAGTCAAAATCCAAACGCCCGCAGCAGTGCCTTGGTGCAGGCACTCCTGCAGTACTCGACAAACCAAGTGTTGTTTGGTTTTTTTTCCCCCCCTCTTCTCTTCACCTTTCTTCACAGCCCTTAACATAAAAGTACAATATGTCGGCGGTAAAATTCGAAGCAGATGATTCATAAGCACAGAGTTAAAAGCTCTGCGGTGAAATTAATGCACTAATAGACTCTGCACCACTCATAGAACCCATTTAGGCGACAGTATCGGCGCTCCCTGAGGTGTCAGGACGGGCCGATTTCTCAGGAAGTTATACTGCAGCAGTCACTTAGGGGAATGCACGCGCACACACACACACACCGAGTGTGCACCCGTGATTAATTAATCTGCTTTTGATTTGCTAATAACGCAAGGTCAGTGAGATCTGAGTCAATCCTTTTAAGAGGGCCAGGCTAAGTGTGGGAGTTGTCAGGCGTATTGGTGTCATCCCTCTTCAAAATGACTCCACAGAACAGGCGAGTGCTGTGTGAAGCAGGCTACGTACATTCTGACCATCGCGCTGAATGTGAACATTTTCCCTCACTTACGATCAAAGTCAGCACAGGCCTGATTATCGGATGACCGATTTATCTTGTGGTGTGTTAGGAATGAATATTGCTCCCTGATTTGTTTGGAAAACCATCAGGAGTAACAAAACATAAATGGAAAAAAAAATGCTTGTTTGTGTGTGTATTTTTTTGTTTGTTTGTCAATATTTGTAAATGTGCATTCAGCTCCCTCCCGATGATGAACGCCCTCCTTTGCCTGTCTTCTGTCACCAGATGAAGACGAGTGTGCAGGAGATGTTCTTCTGAGCATCCTCCATCTCCATCCATCAATCCAACGCGGACACCTCTGACAACCTTTACGGTAAAAGTGATGTCCTCTGCAGGCTTTGCATCTTTATTCAACCCCCCCCTACTCCCTCTGCCAGTCCCGGTGTGCGTTTCCGAACAGGATGACTCTTAATAATAAGAAGCACCGCTGACTGTTCGGGGCTTGTCGCCATGGCCATGGGCCCCCTTTTTAATTTTAGCGCACAATCGGCGAGGTGAGGCCTTGGGGTGCGAATGCCGCACGCTCGCGCGTCTTCTTCTTGGGAGTTATTAAGGCTGGAGTAATGAGATGATGGTGAGCACTGAGGTAGACTCATTGAGAAGGGAGTGGCGATCACAGCAGTGCCAGGAGACTTATGAATTTCATTCGGCCGCTTTTTTGGCTTTGACTTGCGAGCGCACACTTGAGGTATTAGCGCTGTATGGTGGCAGTAAACCTCAGTTCAACTCACAAGCTTCCAAAAAAAAAAAGAGTTCACCTTTCAATCTGTTTACTGCCACTCGGGTCAAAGTTTAATTTCAAATAGATTAAAGATATTCCATCCTTTTTTTTTTTTTTTAAAGACAGGGCAAACTCAAATTTTTAAGTCCTGGATGAACTGATGACTTAAAGGTACTCAAATCAACAAGTTGAAGGGAATTGTTTTCGGTTTTTCATTTTTTTTTTTTTTTTTTTTTTTCAAAAATTTTTTAAATTTTCACCCAAAAC